TTTCATTGGATAACAACAACCTTGACCTTGGAGATTTACGTACTTATGAAAAAACTTTAACCTTGACCATAACTTTTGAACGGTGGGGGCTAGGGCTTTTGTACTTTACATATGTAATCCCTGTGAGAAGACCTTTCATTGGATACCAATAACTTTTACCCTTTGACCTTGACCTTGGAGTTTTAATTACATTTTAAAAACTTTAACCTTGGTCACAACATTTAACCATTAGATAGTCGGACTTTAATATTTCACATATGTATTCCTTGTGGCAAGACATTTCATTGGATATCAACAACCTTGACCTTTTGACCTTGACCTTGGAGATTTACGTACTTATGAAAAATCTTTAATCTTGACCATAACTTTTGAACGGTGGGGGCTAGAGCTTTCGTACTTCACATATGTTTTCCTTTTGAGAAGACCTTTCATTGGATACCAACAACTTTTACCCTTTGACCTTGACATTGGAGTTTTAACTACTTTCAAAAAAAACTTCAACTTTGAACACAACTTTTGAACGGTAAATACTAGGACTATTATATTTTAAATATGTATTCTTTGTGGCAAGTCCTTTCATTGGATATCAACAACTTTGATCATTTGACCTTGACCTTAAAGATTTATGTACTTATGAAAAAAACTTTAACCTTGACCATAAATTTTGAACAGTAAGGGCTAGGGCTTTCATACTTCACATATGTAATCCTTGTGAGAAGACCTTTCATTGGATATCAACAATTTTGACCCTTTGATCTTGACCTTGGAGTTGACCTACTTTTAAAAAACTTTTTACTTTGGCCATAACTTTTTAATGGTCAGGATTAGGGTTTTCATCATTAAAAAAAATCAACTTCAATGTTACTTTCTAAATAAATGACATATGATAGGATGTTCATATTACACACAATATGTCATAAAGATAACATCTCACCCACAAAGACACCGAAAGCGGGGGACCACAATTCTTTGAATTTGCTTGTTTAAACTTGATATCCAATGAAAGGTCCTGCCACAAGGATTATATATGTGAAAGATGAAAGTCTTAGTTTTATCCCTTCAAGAGGTTTAGTCAAATTTTGCTTTTTATGCATCCGAAAACGAAGTTTCGGGGGTATTAATTTTTGTCAAGTCCATCTAGCTGTCTGTCTGTCTCTCTGTCTGTTTGTCCGCAAAAACTTTAACCTTGCTCATAACTTTTGATTCAGAGGAGTTATGACTTTCATATTCCTTGTGACAAGACCTTTCGTGTGGTACCACCAATTTTAAACTTTTGACCTTGGAGCTTGACCCACTTTTACACAAAAATTTTGAACTTTTACTTTGGTCATATCTTTTGAAAAGTAGATACCAGAACATTTGCATTTACTATATACCAGTATATTGTTACCAGTATATTGTTTGTAGAAAGACGTTTCATTTGATACCAACAACTTTGACCTTTTGACCTTGACCTTGGAGATTTACGTACATAAAAAAACCTTGGCTATAAGTTTTGAACGAAAAATGCTAGGGCTTTCATATTTTACTTATATAATCCTTGTGAGAGGATGCTTCATCAGATACCAATAACCTTGAACTTTTGACCTTGACCTTGGAGTTCGACTTACTTTAAAAATACAACTCAGCCCATATTTTTGAAGGGTTAAGACTAGGGCTTTCATTCTTCACATTCTTAATCCTTGTGACAAAACATTTTATTTAATACCAAGATACTTGACCCCTTGTTCTTGACCTTGGCATTTGACCCACTTTTACACAAAAATTCCAAACTTTTACTTAGGCCCTAATTTTAAAACGGTAGATTCTAAGAATTTCATATTTCACATATCAATTCTTTTTGGCAAGACCTTTTATTTAAAATCAAGAATTTTGATTTGACCTTGGAGATTTTCGTACTAACGAAAAAACTTTAACCGTGATCATAACTTTTGAACAGTGAGGGCTAGGGCTTTCATTCTTCAAATATGTATTCCTTGCAAGAATACCTTTCATTGGATATCAACAATTTCGACCCTTTGACCTTTGAGTTTGACTTACTTTTAACATTGGCAATAACTTTTGAATAAAGGCTAAGTCTTTCATATTTCACATATGTATTCCGTGTGACAAGACCTTTCATTGGATATCAAAAATCTTTACCCTTGGAGTTTGACCTTCTCTTTACAAACTTCAACCTTGGCCGAAGTTTTTGAACGATAAGGGCCAGCACTTTCATATTTCCCATATTTAATCTTTGAGACTTTCTTTAGAAACTAAGAACCTTGAACCTTTGACCTTGATCCTGGAGTTTTTCCTACATGTAAAAATGTTAACCCTGGTCATTACCCTTGAATAGTTGGTGCTAAGGTTTTATATTTCACATCTGTATTTCTCAAAAGACCTTACTTTAGGAACCAACATATTTAATTTGCATTTGAGAAAGCTTAAACATTGCTATGTTGCCATACGTGGACATCAGAGTTTTAAACACATCTTGTTAAAAGTATGTCAAGGGGTCATAGTTCTTGGTATCCAATGAAAGGTCACAAGGATTACAAAAGCCTTATCATTTATCATTCAAAAGCTATGGTCAAGGTTAAAGTTTTTTTTACAAGTATGGAAATCTCCAAGGACAAGGTCAAAAGGTCAAAGAAGTTGGTATCGAATGAAAGGTCTTGCCACAAAGAATACCTAAGTGAAATATGAAATTCCCAGTATCTACCGTTCAAAGGTTTCGGCCAAGTTTAAAGTTTTTAAAAAGAAGGTCAAACTCTAAAGTCAAAGGGTCAAAGTTCTTGATAGCCAATGAAAGGTATTGCAATGTGAAAGCCCCAGCCCTAACCCTACAAAAATTAAAGTCAAGGTTAATTTTTTCCATAATCTCTTAGGTCAAAGTCAAAAGCTCAAACTTGGTAACCAATAAAAGTTCATACAAAAAGAATACATATGTTAAATATGAAAGTCCTATATGTAGTATCTACCATTCAGAATTTATGGCCAAAGTAAAACTTAAAAAAAATTGTAAAAGTTGGTCAAACTCCAAGGTCAAAAGGTCAAATTTGGTGGTACCCTAAGAAAGGTTTTGTGACAAGGAATACACATGTGACATTTTAAAGTTATAGCTCAACTTAAGTTGTGGGCAAAGTTTTTGTGACGGACGGGCACACTGACAGACACACAAATGAGATTAAATGTCCCCTCACTTTCGCGAAAGTGGGGGACAGTAAGGACAGATAATACATTCTACAAAATAATATCTGCTTTGTAAGTCTTCGTAATATATTAGAAATATATTTAAATAAATATATATTAATTACATTGCAATATCTTAACCGATTCTAAATTTTTTTCTTGTAGAAATCGAAATACTAAAAAATTGGATATTGGCAAATAAAGTATTTGTCTGAAGGAATATATAAAAAATTCTATCCTCTGGTATATTGCACAAAGGCCTGGTAAGGTGCCTCTATATCTTGTGATTAAACACGTTAAAGTAGATGAAACTAGAAATATGTCCATAGGACATGAATGCCACGCCGAGGATATATTAGTAAAGCAACATGAAAATTTGTATGTGTATAAAATATGATCAGTTTGGTTCAGGTAGGGCTTATCGTTACTTGGGAATAAAAATGTAGGTCAGATCCAGAATCCGAAGCAAGTCTGGTAGTGTCCATCCCTAGATGCATCATCCATGCAAGTTTGGTTCATGCAGGACTTATAGTTACTTGGGAATGAAAATATAGGTCAGATCCAGCATCCGAAGCAAGTCTGGTAGTGTCCATCCCTAGAAGCATCATCAATGCAAGTTTGGTTGAGGTAGGACCTTTAGTTACTTGGGAATGAAAATATAGGTCAGAACCAGCATCCAAAGCAAGTCTGGTAGTGTCCATCACTAGATGCATCATCCATGCAAATTTGGTTCAGGCAGGGCTTATAGTTACTTGGGAATGAAAATATAGGTCAGATCCAGCAGCTGAAGCAAGTCTGGTAGGGTCTATTCCTAGATGCATCATCCATGCAAGTTTTGTCTAAGTAAGGCTTATAGTTCCTTAGGAATGAACCTGCTCCAAAACCTTTAATCTGGTCACTCATCTGGAAAATCTAGGTCAGATCCAGCATCCGAAGCAAGTCCCGTAGCGTTTATCCCTAGATGCATCATTTGTGCGAGTTTGTATCAACATGTGAAGTTTGACAACACCATCTTGAATGGTATGTTTAAAACAGAGCTAAACACTAATTTAAGAAGTGAGTTCAAGGTCAAAGGAAATGTCAAGGTCAAAAAATGATGCAGTTGCATAGCTCTCATCATTATTCAAGATTGTTGCAGCTCAAAAAATCTGAAACAGTTGTCTGTATTTGAAATAATTATATTAATCACTCACTTAACCTCCTGATCAAGGATTTTATCTTACACCATGTTCAACTCCCATGAGTGCTTTCAGTACTTTGATTTTAATCTAAAGTCAGTTACATACTAGTATTTAGAACTTCCAGGTCAAGTGAAACATACATAATTTTGGATAATGATCACTTTGACGAACGTTATTTATCAGACAGGCAAAATATCAAACCATGTTCGCTGGGTTAGTAATTATTTGTATATATTGAAAAATACCCCGTGGGGATCCTGGTTAGAATAGGTTCTCAGTACCCCCTTGCTTGTCGTAAAAGGTGACTAAAAGAGGCAGTCCTTTGGATGAGACCGTATCAACCGAGGCCCCGTGTCACAGCAGGTGTGGCACGATAAAGATCCCTTCCTGCTCAAAGGCCATAAGTGCCGAGCATAGGCCTAAATTTGCAGCCCTTCACCGGCAATGGTGACATCTCCGTATCAGTGAAATATTCTGGAGAGGGACGTTACACAGTATACAGTCAATCAATAAATATATACTGAAAAATACTCAATCCTCCACCAAGGTCAAATCCAGCATTCAAAGTAGGCAGGCCTGGTAGTTTGAATCCTTCTATACAATTTTATTTATTTCCCTTTGAATCAGGATGAGACTCATAATTTAAACAAATATGAATCCGACCTTCACTTGTATATGTTTGTGTCAAGTTTAGTTGAAACTTGTCATAATGTTGGAAATTGTGAAACATGACACAGGAAACAGAGAATTTAAATTGACAAGAATTTTCACATTAGGATAGTATATATTAAACAATGCTGCAATACAACAAAATCTTTTTTTTAAATTACATTACATTTATAAGGTCAATCAACTGTTAGTGTCTGTGTGTGTATTCCTCAATAGCGAGAAGCACTGACTTTTACAGTGGACGGCTTACTATATATTACACTCAGACAATGTAAGGAAACCTTTTTAACGATATAAATATTTAGCTCAACCGTATTTGTCAACTGTAAAAGTCGGTGCTTCTCGCAAAAGCCCAATATCTTTCTACTCCTTCACACACATAAAAGTTGATAACTTGTGTGCATCCTCTTGTGTTTGTGAAAGTTCCCGGAAACGTTAAATTCCTTTCCACATACATCACATTTGTACGGCTTTTCGCCTGTGTGGGTCCTCATGTGAATCTTAACAGCACTTGATACTGTGAAGGTCTTTTCACACACATCGCATTTAAAAGGCCTTTCACCAGTATGAATTCTCATATGAGTTTGTAAGGTACTCGGCTGATTAAATCCCTTTCCACACACTTCACATTTATAATGTTTCTCACCTACATGTGTCCTCATGTGTGTGTGTAAGGCATGTAATTGATTGAATTTCTCATCACACATATCACATTTATGACATTGTTTAAAAGCATGCGTCTTTTTGTGTGTGCGTAAGGAACGCGTATGGTTGTATCCCTTCCCACAGACATCACATTTATAAAGTTTATCATCCGAATGGGTACCTACATGTCTACGCAAGTTACATAATTGGTTGAATGCCTTCCCACACACATCACATTCATGAAGTTGATCACCAGTGTGTATCCTTATGTGCATCTGTAAGTTACATGAGCGGGAGAATGCTCTCCCACACGTATCACAGGTAAATGGTTTTTCACCTGTATGTGTCCTAATGTGTCTTCGTAAGTCTGCTTTTTCAGGGAACCCTTTGCCACACACATCACATTTATGATATTTATCCCCTATGTGTATCCTCGAGTGTCTATACAAGTAACTTTTTTTGCCGAATGTTTTCCCACACACATCACATTTATGAAGTTTATCACCTGTGTGTGTCCTCGTGTGTCTTTCTAAATGATCAGAACAATTTAAAGTTTTCTCACTTATAACACATTTAAGACTTTTAACGTGTTCCAACGTACCGTCGGTTTGATTCACACTAATAGTCGAGTCTGAGAAGTTTTTAGTATCATTTTGAATATGCAAATGAGATGAAAAATTTACTTGTTCCACCTGCAAAGTTGACAAAAAATGTTTTAATATTATGTTTTAATACTCGTTTGCTTTTAATTCATGATTTAACATGTTAATCAAAACACATATAAGTGAACTGAGGGAAGCTAATCATACAGTAGATTCCTAAAACAACTTAAAAACATAGGTAATCAGAGATTACAGAGCTCACCTCAACGTGTGTTGTCTTTAAGTAAGGCAAATTAAGTCACACAATTAACCAACAAAAAGTGTACATCCAAAAATGCAAAATTTATGCAATTTTGATACTTTGGAATAGACCTATATAAAAACTAAAAACTAGTTCTTCATCATGAAAATGTAATTAAAATCCAGCATCTGAAGCATGATTGAGAGTTTTCATCCCTTGATGCATCATTTAAGCAACTGGTTTATATAAGCCTTATAGTTTCTTGGTGATAGACTTGCACCCATAACTTTTACGAGGTCTATTATCTGGAAAATGTATGTCGAATTCAGCATCTGAAGCAAGTCCATTAGTGTGCATCCTAAGATGTATCATCCATGCAAGTTTGGTCAACATAGGGCTTAAAGTTACTTGCAAATGAAACCTGTATAAAATAATTAACCTTTCCACTAATCCAGAAAATGTAGGTCAGATTCAGCATCCGAAGCCAGCCTAGTAGAATGCACCCTTAGATGTACCATCCATGCAAGTTTGGTCATTATAGGGCTCATAGTAACTTGGAAATGAAACCTGCACCAAAAACTTTAACCTGTTCACTCAACCGGAAAATGTAGGTCAGATTCAGCATCCGAAGCAAGGCTGGTAGTATGCATCCTAAGATGTATCATCCATGTAAGTTTGGTCAACATAGGGCTTATAGTTACTCTGAAATGAGACCTACACCCAAAACTGCACCAAAAATGTTAACCTGCACCAAAAACATTAACCTGGTCATTCCTTTGCTGAAATTGCAGCATCTGAAACTTTGACTGGTACAATGAAACACACTAGCAACATCTTCCATGCATGTCTAATCAATATAGGACATAGAAGTACTTAAAAAGAAAACTGCTCCAAAAAACTTAACCTTAACCCGTGACGCTGACGCCGAGGATATCACATAAGCTCCCCCCAACTTCGTTGAGGTGAGCTAAAAATCATTTCCGTTACAGGAGTACATGTATATTCCAAACAAGTAAGAAAATTAAAGCAAGGGGAAATTTGTCGATCAAAGCAAACCAGGTTTCCTTTTGTGTGAACAGTACTCGCATTGCTAAAAAAATTACCGAAAAACAGTTTCAGTTTGGCCCATTAGTTTTTGAGAAGATTTCTACAGATTTTTCTTTTATATTTCTATGTAAAAGTTGGATTCCCTATTGTGTCCCCCCTTCACCGGAGAACCTGATTTTAACAATTTAAATTTGACACTACCTCATGATATATCCTATGAGTTTCTGTTTTTCTGGCCCATTGGTTCTTGAAGAAAAAGATTTTATTAATTTTTCCTATATATTTTTTAAACCACTACCCATTTTTGTTTTTTCTTGATTATCTTGTAAGAGGACTTGGTGATTCATTTTAGGTCAGACAAAAGTTCCCCAAATACCTGTTTTATATATCTTCATAATATATGAAAAAAATATACAAAATTTTCATTACTTTCTGATTTCAAAACCGGTTTATAACTGTTTTTAAAAATTTGAAACACTAAAAATGTGATTTTAACAAACTATGATTTTTTCCCTAAAGGATTATATAAGAAATGCCACCCTGTCGTAAAAATGTCTGGTAAGGTACCTCAATTTTTTGTGAGTAAACATGTTAGAGTATAAATTTATCAATGACAAAATCTTGGAAAAAATTATATATTATTCAGGAATGTCTCATCTGTCCTTAAACAGTTTAAACTCCCCATCACCCAAGGATGCTTTATACCAAGTTTGGTTAAAATAGGCACAGTGTACCCTGAGAAGAAGTTGAAAATGGGGAAAGTTTACAGATAGTCATCGAACAATGGGTGATTAGAAAAGCTCACTTCGGTGAGCTAAATATATAAGAAACAAAACTAAGGATGGCCTCAAGTCATCAGGTACCTTGCAACCAGGCAGTGACTTGTTTATTGATAGGATTTAACTAGAAACAATAATGAATGTAGTGGTAATTATTCATGAAGTTGAATACATTTATCATTGTTTATACATTTTAAGTTCACATATTTTTTCATTATTGGCATTAGCTGGCTAAAATTTAAAATTAAGTCTAAGTTTAATGTCACCTATCAACTTCAAAACCTAAGAAGGCAAGAGGAAAAAAATAAAAGAAAAACAGAATTTTTAAATAAATGAGTATTTACTCATCTACATTAATTCAAATACTGTAAAAAAAATATTTCTAATCATATACAGGCTTTTGGTTTAAATAAATATTTTCAGTAAATCTGTATCTAAAATTAGACTGAATAGAATCAGCTCAAAGCCCAAATATTGTCTACCTCTACAGAATGTACATGTAGTTTTTAGGTTCTAAAAGTAATAGTAGAAAGGAACAGAAACATGCAAAAAAATGCAGATTACTTTGATTCTATACTCCTGGGGGTGATCTTAAACATAGAACTAACTTTGGACAGCCTTATGATGCATTGTTATGTCACATAAGCTTTGCCTTCTTTGTGTATTGATTTGTCCTATTCAACAATTCTTAAATTGCATAAACAACACATAAAACACTGTAAATAGATATTTAACAGTCTATTTAACTGTATCATCAAGAACAATCATCAATTTAAATTTTGAAATTTCACACTGGTCTGTGTTAAAGTATCCTTAAAATTGAACATGTTGAATCTGTCTTCTCAAAACAATATCTAGCCTACATTTACATATGGGGTAGTTGGTATGGATTCTTTGAAATAAGAATTTTACAAAGTTATCACATCACAAAATTGTACATGTTTAATGATATGGCTTTCTTAAATATGTTTGCTTGCCCTCTTCAGACTCAGGATAAAATGACAAGATAGGCTTAGACCCCTTTCTGTCCCCTGATTTTTGGTATCTTTTGGAATAATAAAACAGTTTATCAATTAAAACTTGTATCAGAATTAGGATCAATTGGTTCCAAGTTTTGAAATACACAGAGGTCACAGAGAGGTCAGAAAATAGGTTAATTCTCCAATTTTCACATTTTTATGCAAATTTCATCAATTCAACAGCACATTTTGTTTCTAAAAACATAGAGAACATGCTTGCCTATCTACCAAATTTATTATCTCAAATATGATGAAAAATGTCCACCAGAATTGAGGAAACTTCTGCACCTTCTTGTGGAGAGCTTTAAATTTTATCCTTTACTTGGCACTAAATTCCATTTAGCAGGGAGGGATCTTAATCGTGCCAACGACTACTGTGACACCAGACCTTGGTTTATACGGTCTAATCCCAATGCCCAGTCTCCACATTCCACAGTGAGATTTGAACTTTCGACATAAGGAACTACTCCTTACTTCACGACAATATAGTATATGCTTTAACAACTGCGCCATGCAGGTGACTAGTGTTGTAAAATCGGACAAATTTTACTATCGATTATCAAATTGAATCGGAAGAACACAATCGATTATATAATCAATAATTTGAACTATTAAAAAGGTTAGATTTATTAATTCAGCACGAGTAGAATTCCATGACATTTGACCGCGAACTTCAACTTATCTTTATTGGCATACGACATTTTACACAATTTACAAATAACCGAGTCCATCTGTAAATTATTTTTGCATGGAGGCCCATCGCCCTGTTTCAGAAAGCCAAAAAACTTCAAACTTTAGATCGTGTTGCACCAGGATATTGATATAATTAGGCGTCAACCTCTTCACCATGCACGTTCGCCATTTTGTTTACCGCCGATTAGAGTGACGTCCCTTTGGTGAATATAACAGTTAAACCTGATCGGCTTAAAAAATACGGCATGAAAAATATAGCGATCTATCGATGATAATATTTACAATCGATTGTCGCCGATCTGGGCCTTTTAACGACAATTTTTCGATAGTCGGTGACTATCGTAACAACACTACAGGTGACTCCTCAACAATAAAGCCTGTATGTCAGAGGTTATTCAGGTAACAGCATTGAGCAATATAAAAATACCTGTGATATTTTCTGTTGTTGATTATCTTCTTCTTCATTTTCTGTAACATGGTCAGGATTTCCAAATATCTGCTCCTTTTCTACAACCAAGACACCAAATAAGTATAAATCAAGTTATTCAACTGAACTCTCATTAAGTTCATTTTATTTTTATTTTAATAAAAGGGCTTAGGACACTGAAAGTTACTTCAAGCACCTCTTAATCTAAATTAATGGTTTCAAACCATTTTTTACTTTTGTTTTCTCTGAGAGTCTGAGAGAAAACAAACAGAAAAAAATTATGTAATTATAAGTTACAAATCATTTACAAAATCTTGGCTCTTTGGAGCTATCTACTGTCCAGGCAAACAACAATGTTATTTATTAAGACAAAATGTATGATTTCAATGTGTATCTTACATATAAAATGGTTTTAAAAAATGGAACAGATGATTCCAATCTGGCACATTCAAGTCATCAGGTGCTTTAGTGACCAATTAACTGATTGATTAATTAACAGTAAAGAATGGAAAAAGCACTAATTTAGTTACAGATTTCCCCATTATTTCCAGATCATGACAAGGAGCACACAGCTGGTGACTGGCCAGCAAGGGATGCCCACTCCTCCATGGCACCTGAACCCACCTCTGATGTTTCGGAGGTTCTGTTTGCACTGCTCAAATTTTGTATTATTTTATGGACTTAGTTATTGAATACTGTTCTTTATCTTTATCATGTGTTCATATATTTAATTCATTAAATTTATACCACTACACTCCTCCCCTAGCTCTGCTTCTTGGTTTCTTTGATGTGGTGGTGTCTGCATTGTCTTGTCCTCTGACATCATGATCTAATTATAGCTCCTAAAACCTGTAAAAAATAATGTATATCATACAAATAAAGTTACATTGGGATTGCTTTGCTTATTGAAAATATGAAAGAGATCATATATTTCTACTTGTGTTCATAAAAATATTTTTACCTTTCTTTCACATGGGAATTTTACAGGGTTCTGTACTCTTTCACTTGGGAATTTTACATTTTAAAAAAAGTGGCCAATTTTGATTGATTGGTTGTAGTTTAACAGATGTCATATACACATGCAGGTGACCTTTACTCATCACTCAGGGTTGTTGAGCAGTGAGGCATCACAATTATGCCAAAGACTAGACATGACACAGGGTTTCGGTTTTTAATGCATCTGACATGCTAAGGAACTGCAACTTTTACTATATAAAGTACAGAGTCTTGGGCGAAAGGATTTTTTTTTTATGCCTTAGGCCAGTCACAGAAAGGGTTTGCATCAATGACCTTCTGATCTTTAGTTAATGATGTGTGGAAGTCAATTCGTAATAACATTCTTTGTTTCCAGTAGACAAGCAGACTTTCATATTTTTGTAGCTGATTGACTAGTCACTTATCCGACATTCCTCTGACTTTAACCCCTGCTTTTTTATATTGTACACAAATCATAATATCAAAAAGCTGGGGTAAGAGTCAGAGAAATATTGGATTAATGATTGACCTATGACTAGGTTTTGATTTGACCACAGGAGTTGGCAGTTTAATCAATAATCCAGTGTAAACATAACATATGAGCTGCGCGAGCGTAGCAAAGCGACGCTGCAACAGGAATGCAACGCGATTTTTTCTCTGCCGCTTTAATTAGTCAAAATAACAAATGCATATGACTCAAGTTGTCAGTTGATGTTTCCCACGTGATTTCTGTTGTATTCCCCTTCTTAATCGCCGTTATTTAGACTGTATCCCTAAAATCCAACATTAACAACATTTCGAAAAGAATCAGCCGCCATGAGGGTTTTCCAATGATGTCACGATATATTCAAAATGTGTTCATTGACTTAGGTAAGTTTTACTTCATTTTAAAAATATTTTTTGGCATAATATTCCTTTAAAAATATTAAAAACTCAAATAATTCAACGATTGAACAATTTATTCAATTTTTAAGTGTTTAAATGTAGGGAATCCAAACTCAGTTCAACATAGAATCGTGACGTCACGGGAAAACCCCTCATGGCGGCTGATTCTTCTCGAAATGTTGTTTATGTTGGATTTCAGGGACAATAACGGCGATTAAGAAGGGGAATGCCACAAAAATCAGGTGGGACACATCTACTATCATGAATCGCATTGAGTCGCATATATGCATTTGTTATTTTGACTAAATAAAGCGGCAGAGAAAAATCACCAAAAACGGGCTCGCTACGCTCGCGAAGCTCATAGGTTATGTTTACACTGGTTTATCGATAAAACTGCCGACTCCTGTGATTTGACTTGGTTCCGAGTTAATCAGAAACAAACCTAAAGGATTTGGTGTTTTTCTCGGCAATTTCTATATTTTCTCAAGTAAGACTTTTTTACAGCTTTTTTCTAGGGTCAATAAGTTTTTCTTATCATATAGAGAAATCACCAGCTTTAAGCACCAAAGCAAAACCAACATACCTTTGCGAGTTGCCCGTTTTTCGCCACCTTTGGTATAAACAAAGAGAAATGCCGATCCCGATTTTTATGTCCTGAAATCGGCGCGTCGATTTACCCAAATGGACCCAAATGGAAACACAAATGGACCCAAATGGAATTCAGATGGAATATTAAATATGTATTATCGCATTTTAATACTTATTTAAAATGATGAAAATAATGAACTTACAGTTACAAATGGATTTTTTTTAAAATTATTATAAAATCTCTAATATTATATTTTGAAACATAAAGTTTTGATGGTATACTACATGATATATACCGGCAAAATTATTTGGGGGTAGGGGCGGCGGGGGGAGGGGTTATGAGTAGGCCTCCCCCATCCGTTCCTAGGGCCATAAAAAATCAAATTATACTTCAGTTTTGTATTCAAGTATGTTCAATAGTTATTACAAATAGAATTGAACCGCATTTTTAAAAAAATACAGTCGAAGAAAATAATGATATAATCAGGCGCGGATCCAGGAATTTAATTTAGAGGGGGCGCAAAAAGTAGGCAATGGGTCTGGGGACCGTTTTGAGCCCCCCACCCCCCCCCCCCCCCCAGTGGGTCCAGGACAAAGTCCTGGTGAGGGCCCAGGGGGCGAAGTCCCCGGACGCTCCTTGGTTCTAGAGATTTTGAAGGGTAAAAGGAGGTCTACCAAGTAGACATATATATTTACATTTTCTAGAGAAACTTTGATTTACGTTAACTTTGACAATTTTAGGAGGGGGGGGGGGGGCGCACCCTCTTAAATCAGCCACTGATAATGATATTATTATTTAAATACATGTGTTCTCTTTTTGTTTTAATTTCAGTATTTTTTTTTATTTCGAATAAGTAAAAACTTGAAAACACGATATAATATATATATTTTATATTTCATTTGGGTCCATTTGATTTCCATTTGGGTCCATTTGAGTTTCTATTTGGGTCCATTTGGGTTCCATTTTGGGTCCTTTTGGGTAAATCGACGCACCCCCTAAAATTCATAAGTTAAAAAATTGAAAACTGAAAACAAATAAACTATAAATAAATAAATAGATAATAAATAAATAAAATAAATAAATAAATAGCCTAATATTCAAATTCTGTATAACATAATGATGTATGAATAACCATGTATATCTTATGTAGTCTACCTTTTTTAAAACCTCTTACATGTACATTCATGTCGCATAAACTGCACACTCTGCTCAAGTTGTTTAAGAATTTCACTGCTTGGATTCCGGGGAGATCCAGATATTTCAGATTTTAGAATGGGGGTAGACCTGTGTAAGGAATTCCATACGACAACAAACTGCTCACTGCTTACTGCCACATACATTGGCAACTGCTCACTGCTTTCTGCCACACATATTTCAGTGAATTTTTCAAATTCATATTGATATTTATGTGAATTTTCAAAAAAAAAAAAAAAAAATAAAGGCGTGGATCCAAGAACTTTTTTCCATGAGGGGTCCACCCTAGTTAGATTAAATCCAACCCAGATATTTCTTGTCAAGAAAAAAACAAAACAAAAAACAAAATCGTAAAGGCCTTTCATAAACGGGGAAAATATATATCGGCGGGGGAGTGGTGGGTGGGGGCTTGACTTCTTATGTTTCTTATCTTCCTCAAAGAGACTGATACTGATAATCTTTGATAAAATAGATAATGAATAATATACAATTTATACGGTACTTCAAAGGCATTTTTAACATACTAGTATACCATAAATATTTTAGTCGTTTGTTGAACGAGTTCCACTGAGACAATCATTTTTCGTCAAAAGTACCTGCATAATGACATCATTTTCACATTGTGAGCAAAACTTTATTCTGAATATGCTATTTATAGAATTTGTGTCTGGCTATGTGTGCACTAAACTTGTTTCTAATCTGAATTGTGGTTTTGTAGATACACATGAATAGAGATAGTTGGCGAACTTTTTTATCATCTCCCCTCGTACTAGTAGGTAATAAAACAAGGTCATTCATATCGATTTTATGTGTTTAATTTCTATGTGTTTCAATAGTGATAATTAAACTTTTAACCCCCTTCCCCGCAGTCTCGCATTTTAACGCATATACCATTTCCTATTTCTGACGCAAAATCACGCAATTACCGTTTCCCCGCAATCACGCACTTTCACGCACTTTAAAAAGTTTATTTAATTGTTAATATAATGTCAATTTCCTTCTATTTCATACTTGAAAAAATCTCATCAAATAAGAAAAATTATTTTTGTATTAAAATATAGCTTCATAATATAATTTATGCAAATCTTTAGAGAAACGTGTACCAAGCTAAAATGTGCTTGCGGGGAAATGGTAAATTTCTATTTTTAAGACGGGAACATTAAATGTTTTTGGGTACCCATCTTTATCCGCAACTCCTCTCATACCACGAAATGAAATTAGATGAGACTTTCACACAATCTTTATCACATATATCCATTGTGTACCTCCTATTTTACTTTTGATCTGACACATATTTTGTGTTTGCCATTGCAAAACATGGACACTGCCATTACATTCATATGGAAGGCGGAAAGTATCACAGAGTGAGCTCGTTCCTCACAGTACATGTACCTCTAGTTATAACCCCCTTTGTCTGCAATAAGTACCAATATGCTATAGAAAAGCTATTCAGAGATTTACTGTGTCTTACGAAACCAAAAATCAAATTGAACATTATTAATTGTCATTTACTTCTGTGGGGAGATGAGTCACAAAATGTAGAAATCAATAAATATATTTTTCAGTCAGTTCATAAATTTATAACATATTCTGGTAGATTTAATTAATTATTACTGCCTAACACTTACACCTATATATCTATATAATTATATATTTATCATAATTATGTAACAAATGTATGTTTCAATTTAACAAACTTGTTTGTACATCAATATTCCTTTTCATTTATTTTCCCTATGTATATACTGTAAATCACTTTTTATTCGCGAGAACTTTATTTTCGCGTAAATACGCGAGACAATGCGTTCGCGAAAATTAAATTCTCGCGTATAAAAGTATTCCTTACGATTATATAGTGGAATGACAACTATTCGTGAAAATTATGTCTCGCTTACAAAGAGTAAATGACAATCTCGCGAAAATAAGGTGTCGCGAAAATTAAGTGATCTACAGTATATTGACAGTTGTATGGTGAGAACCTAGTAAGTTGTTAGAACTTGTGTTCAAACCATTTGTATAGTATTTATACAATAAAATATGTTCAAACAAAAAAGTACGTAAGGGTTGCCCGCAACCCTGTGTCTCGCCTGCTGTCGCTGTGGTTAGTAAGAAATGATTGTCTGATAAACTGAAGCATTTATTGACATTTCAGAAGGAATAACTCAAAAATACAATAATAAAGAAATGGAACAGCTGACTTAATATCTAATCCCTTGGCGATTATATTGGCATTTATATATATATACATATACCCTGTAAATTCACAAATTATTGTGATGTTTTTATTATTGCGAATATTGCAACGTGTTATGAGTCGCAATAATTTGAACTTGCATTTTGAAATCAAATCCACTGTATATGTATCAAGTCATTCATGCAGAAAATGTAGGTGAAGATTACCTAATTATGGTACTGATATTGTTGGTTACCCATGATGTGTAGACTGACAAATTATCATGCCACTATAAGTTATAGTTGCTGAGATATGGACCTCCACCATAAATTTATGCAAAGTCACTCATGCGGAAAAATGTAGGTCAAGATGACCTAATTCTGGTACAGGCGTTTGTGGTTACCCATGATGTATCCACTGACAAATTATCATGCCACTATAAGTTATAGTTGCTGAGATATGGACCTCCACCATAAATTTATGCAAAGTCACTCATGCGGAAAAATGTAGGTCAAGATGACCTAATTCTGGTACAGGCGTTTGTGGTTACCCATGATGTATCCACTGACTAACTATCATGCCACTATAAGTTATAGTTGCTGAAATATGAACCTCCATTATCAATTTAACCAAAGTCATTCATGCAGAAAAATGTAGGTCAAAATGACCTAATTCTGGTACTGATGTTGTTGGTTACTTATAACCTGTACAATGACAAATCATCATGCCATTATAAGTTATAGATGCTGAGATATGGACCTCCACCAAAAATTTAACCAAAGTCACTCATGCAGAAAAATGTAGGTCAAGATGACCTAATTCTGGTACTGACGTTTGTGGTTACCCATGATGTATCCACTGACTAATTATCATATCCCTATAACTTATAGTTGCTGGAATATAGGTCTTCACCATAAATTATCATGAAAAAACTAAGTCCAACTTAAGGAAAAAATACGGAAAAATTTGAATTTTTTTTTTCAAAATCATACTTGGGATATAAATTTTTATCCATACTGAATATTGTGTCCAAATTTCAAGAAGACTGAATAAAATTTGAGAAAGTTATTGCAGTTTATAAAACTTTGACATTTGGGTTAACCAAAAGTTGGACGCCGACGACGACGACGACGACGACGGAATCTATGGTCGCTATGTCTCGCTTCGCGACATTCGTCGCAGGCGAGACAAAAAAACCCGCTTGAAAAGTGGGAGGGTATACAATAATCAGTATTTCCGTCCGTCCGTCTGTACGTCCGTTCGTCTGTCGGTTACACTTTGGGGTACCCATCTCTTATCCGCAACTCCTCTCATTCCACTGAAGGAAATTTAATTAACTTTAGTGACCTTGAGACAATGCCTTTTACCCCAGGGTCATGCCTTGAACAATTTTTAATCTTCAACATATCCTGATTCTTGTATGTAAGTTTGGTGAAAATCTACCTGGTGGTTTTGGAGAAGATTTTTTAGCAACTAGTGCTTTTGGTTTTGTTTTCCTGATTACATGTATCTTCCCTTGTTTTAAGGTCCCAACCCTTATTTTAGTATAAATGGTAGCCCTTGGGCCAAGGATACCCTGTGACAAATTTGACACTGATTGGCCAAGGGGTTCTTGAGTTATGGCCCATATTATAAAAAGTTAACACACACCGCACAAATGGCCATAGCATTAGCTTTTTTAACCTTTGGCTCAGAAGAGCTAAAAATTGTTAGAAGACTGAATTTCAAGCGCTAGAAAGAGTTATTTTTTTTAAACTACGTGACTATTGAACTTTGCTGTTGAATTGTATAGGGATTGTATTTAAAAGAAATTCTTGACGCTATTTCAAGTCTTCTCTGGGGGTACAAAACATGTAAATAAATTTCTTTTCAATCAAATGAAAGAAAACTTCACACATCCACAAAACAATATATTTTTACAAAGAATATTGAGCTTATTTTAAATTTCTGGAAAGAAGTATAACTAAAATTGACAATGTCCACAAACTTTTCGAACAACCCTCGTATCAGGTTTTTTCACAGGATGAAACATATGGATATAACGAACGGTGTTCAACATCAGAAGTCCATAAAACAATACAAAGTAGGAGTATAGGAAACACGGACCTCCAAAACATCGGAGGTGGGATCAGGTACCATGTAGAAGGGAGCATCCCTGTCGACATAGAATGTACATAGAATGTCTTCACACACATTTATCCAATTCCTAAGGTTTATCACATGAATGTCACCTTTTCGTGAACTGGTACGTTACTCGATAGATTCAATGCCTTCCAACACACATCACATTCATAAAGTTCATATGGATTTGTCACAATGTATTTATTTAAATCCGCCATTTCACGCAACTTTTCTTTTACGAACCACTATGAATCACCACAATGTATCCTACAATGTCTCTTGAAGTTACTTGAACAATGGAATGGCTTTCCACATATATCAAATACATGACGAATGTCACCTGTATGCATCCTCATGTGACGCTTGAGAGGATGTGAATGGCTGAAAGCCTTCCCACACACATCACATTTATAAGGTTTTTCACCAGTATGAGTCCTCATATGTGTCAAAAAGTAATTTGACCAGTTGAATGCCTTCCTTCACACGTCACATACATAAGGCTCATCACCTGTATGTATCCTCATGTGACTTTTTAAATATTGTGACAGGTTGAAAGCCTTACCACAGATATCACATCTACAAGGTTTCTCACCCTGTACGTCCTTATGTGTGACTGTAGGTTTCCTTCCCACATTTATCACATTTATAAGGTTTATTACCGGTATGTGTCCTTATGTGTCTCTGTTTGGTACTTGAATGAATGAATGAATGAATGCCTTCCCACACACATCACATTAGTATGATGCTTCACCTGAATGTGTGCTCATGTGTCTATTTAAATATTGTGATTGGCTGAATGTCTTCCCACACATATCACATTTATAAGGTTTTTCATCTGTATGTGTCCTCATGTGTCTCTGTAAGTCACTTAACCGTTTAAATGCCTTTTCACATACATCACAGATATAAGGTCTATCACCTGTTTGTATTCTCATGTGATCCTGTAAGGTACTTGCCTGAGTGAATGCTTTCCAACACACATCACATTTAAAAGGCTTATCACCTGTATGTGTCCTCTTGTGTGTCTGTAAAGCATATAATTTGTTAAATGCTTTTCCACACACATCACATTTTAAAGGTTTAACAATTGTGTGTGTCCTCATGTGTCTTTGTGAGTTACTTGTCTGTTTGAATGCCTTTTCACACACATCACATGCACATCTATAAGGTTTTCCACCAGTGTGTTTCCTCATGTGCGCATGAAAGGTACTTGACCGAGTAAATGCCCTCCCACACACATCACATATATAAGACTTATCATCGGTATGTGTCCCCATGTGTCTCCTTAAGTCACTTGTCTGTTTGAATGCCTTTTCACATACATCACATTTATAAGGTTTATCATCGGTATGTGTCCCCATGTGTCTCCTTAAGTCACTTGTCTCTTTGAATGCCTTTTCACAAACATCACACTTATAAGGTCTATCACCTGTATGTGTCCTTATGTGTCTCCGTAAGTTACTTGTCCATTTGAATGCCTTTCCACACACATCACATTTATAAGGTTGATCACCTGTATGTATTCTCATGTGATCATGTAGGTGATTTGACTGTTTATATGCCTTCTCACAAACATCACATTTATAAGGTTTTTCACCTGTATGTGTTCTCATGTGTATCTGTAGTTTTTCTAACTGTTTGAAAGCCTTTCCACACATATCACATTTATAAGATTTCTCACCTGTATGTGTCCTCCTATGGCTCTTTAAATACTGTGGCTGCCTGAATGCCTTTCCACAAACATCACATTTATAAAGTTTATCACTTGGGTTGAATTCTCATGTGATGCTGTAAGTGATGTGATAGTCTGAATGCCTTCCCACACACATCACAGTTATATGGTTTATCACCTGTATGTGTTCTCATGTGTCTCTGTATGTCACCTGAATGTTTAAATGCCTTTCCACACACATCACATTTATAAGGTTTGTCACCTGTATGTTTACTCATGTGTCTCTGTAACTCATGTAGATGATCAAATGTTTTCATACAAATTTTACATTCATTGGGCCTTTTACTTTCACAAGCATTTATGGATTGTTCAAAATTCACAAATTCATTTTCATTTACACTGCAGTTTAAATTCCCAAGATGACTTTCTGACCTGGATGCAAAATCTGTTTTTTCTTTCTGTAAATGTAACAAATAAATCTTTCTTTAGGTTGAAGCTATTTCAATGTATCAAAAGTGTCCAGGGGCCACTTCATTAACCTGAGTAACTATTGTCATGCTGTTTTTTTTAACCAGATGTCTCTCTTAGTAATTCTTTTTGTGGCCCAACGCTACATGTGGCCCTGGGGTCGTGATTTAAACAGATTAGAATGAACTTTAATTCTGACAGGATGCTTCCACTTAAGTTTCTGCTTTTCTTGCCCAGTGGTTCTTGAGAAAATTATTAAAGGCTTTTTCCCTATACAAAGAACCAAACTTCTAAGTGTTCACCTAACATTTTATGTTTTAAAGAACAAATGCATAAGATAAATTATCTTCTTAATTAATGATTAATGATGTATTTTTCAGTTCGATGTTATGTAAAATTTCATTTATACAGTAAATCTTGTCAAAATTTTAAGCAAAGTGTCAAGAAAATGATGTACCTTCAGAATGAAAATTAACACAAAATAATCTCTACAGAGTAAGACCAACACACACTCTTATTACTGTAAGATATCCACCCAATCAGTAGTAACACGCAATAGGGAATTGTACCACCACAACACAGGATCCTTAGATACTTTCATACTTGGATACTTTACTTAAAAAAAGGTATTAATAGTGAACTAACAACCAAGCTTTTTGATAATCGTGATGGCTTTAACTTTTCTATCGTCAACTTTCCTTACATGTACTTATGCAGCAATTATACTTTCATCAGCTGCATAAGGCTATTATGTGTCTAAGTTGATTCGAAATGCAAGAGAATGCCCTACGTATGAAGAATTTCTACAAATGAGGTAAATTATTGACAAACAAGTTAATGAAACAAGAATATCAACAGTCTCGTTTAAAGTCATTATTTCTTAAGTTCTTTGGTCGATACAATGACCTTGTCAGTAAATACAATCTACCATTAAGTAAAATGCCGACTGACCTTTTTCCTACTAATTGTTAGTCCATTATTTATACATTGAATTGAAGAAGTATTTTCCATTATTTCCAGATCATGAAATAAACCTCAGATTGGTTACTACTGCAAATGAGATTATGGTCAGACCCTTTATTAATTGGTGTAGGCGGTCCAGCATCTCATTGCAAGGTCAAAATCTCACTCGGCGGACCAATATCGATTTTTATGCCTGCTCAGCAAAATATTACAAATGTTAGACTTTTTTCTTTTAAATTTGTATAAATACAAATCTCTAAAGGTATAACAAAATGTTTTATATTTCTATATTTGCAAACTTTATCTCAAAAACACAGTATAATGTTAAAAGTAAAAACATGAAGTCATTAAGTTAGGTTAAATGTGGCCAAAAACCATTCTGACGACAATGGGACTACACCATTGACAAGCTAAAGTGACATTTTCAAAGTTTGGAAATTTGACAGTATTGACAGGTGAGGCCAAATATAAAATAATGTTTGTTTGCCCCTAAAGGCTCTGAATGAAATAAGTCAGTTTAGTAAGTAGGTGAGACATTTTTTCTAAGAAAATTCAATTTCAATGTTAAAATTTTAAAATTTCTATTTTTCTGAATACTTAAAAAAATCAAAGTATTGAAGAACTGAAAGTTGGGCTGTAATTGCTCAACTATATTTTCTGATCTGAAATTAGTAAATCTTTATTTTTTTTCCTTTTGGTCATTGTTTTTTAATAGGTGGAGTTTGTATGATTATGATTTAAACGATATCCCATATACCAGTAATAAAAATTAACAGTCCAGATCCCAAGATATGTTATGATTCAAAAAAAAAATATTTCCAAGAAATCTGTCAAATTTCCTATTAAATAGGCATTTTTTTCTCATAATTAAAAAAATCAGTCTTTGAATTGTTAAGATAATCATGAAAATCCATGTGTATTTTATAGACATTCTTTTGGTTTCAAACAAACAGTACTTTAATCTCGAACTGCTGAAGAAACACTGATACATGTACATTGTCAAGCAACTTCACGGAAGCTAATTATTACAATTCCAATTTACTATACTATTAAAATGTTAAATAAAGTGCCGCGCCACAGCATGATACGCCCGTCAAATAATTACAATTTTCGTGAACAGTTTAGGTGCAAGAAAATCACATCAACCTTGATTCTAAGATTTCGATGATTTTTCCATTCCTTGAAATATTTATCCATCCCCGGTGATGTAGGCATCAATTATAATAAATATTACATCACTGATAGATTTCTGTGCTGGTTGTGTTTGACCTTGTCAAATGTCCATCATCAAATTAGTCTTAACAACTCAATCTATACCAAATTAATTTTGAAAAGAAAAGGCTGGCCATCAAATGACATGTTATAAACTGACCAGCAGTTCTTCTGTCTAATCCCCAAAGGATACAGATAAGATGGCTTAATCAGATCGACTTTGACAGCTAGCCCTTCTACACTAAACTCATTAATTAACCTTTAACTGGATTCTTGTCGATTTTTTTTTGGTTGAGATTTAATGCCCGAAAGGTTTTAATATGTAATTCATATGGACATGCTGATTCCACCCCATCCAATAAAAAGTTTTTAAGTTTATAATGTTAATATCAGATTAGTCTATTATGCAATATCAGATTAGTTTTAATTACTTTTCATTAAATTCATTTTAAAACTTAAGCTAGTCAACAAGAGCTATTTCAAATCAAACAGGCTCACCCATTTGCCCAATACTCAAAGGATATAGATAACTCCAATGTTCTGTCAGTTAGCTCCTCGCACTCAAAACCAATTAATTTCTCTCTAGTTTGACATGCAATTTTCTATCATCAAAATTCTTCTTACCAGTGCTTGATAATTACACTCATGGGAGAGGCAGGGTTTCTCTGACATACATTATATTTGTTATAGACTGCTGTCAAGTATGTGCTTAAAAAAAATAAGTATTTTCTTGATTTAACACTTTTTTAATAAAAACAGTGCAATTCTCTTATATTATTTGTGATGTGTAAATGAATAGTAAACACACACATTTTTTTTAAATTCAATTAAAGTAAAGGTCACAGTGACCTTGAAATAGGTCGCGGCACACCTTCTACCTAAGATGTATAAACTGGCCAAGTTTGATGATTGTAGGTCTTATGGTTTTCTAGTTATAGGCCAGAAAGGATTTTTCCATATTTGACTACATGTATAACTTCTTAATCAATGGTCAGAGCGAAAGGATTTTCCCATATTTGACTATAACTTCTTAATCAAAGGTCAGAGCGACATACTTTTTGTGCGCTAAACGCCTTCTACCCAAGATGCAGCAGATGACAAAGTTTGATAACTCTAGGCCTAGTGGTATTTTTACACAGAATATTGAGCTTATTTTAAATTTCTGGAAAGAAGTATTACGAAAATTGACATTGTCAACAAACTTTTCGAACAACCCTAAAATTGTATAAGGTTTTTCACAGGATGAAACATATGGATATTACAAACAGTATTCAACATCAGAAGTAAAAACAGTACAAAGTAGGAGTACAGGAAACACGGACCTCCAAAACATTAGAGGAGGATCAGGTACCATTCAGAAGTGAGCATCCCTGTCGACCGGTCATGTCCTTAAGGTAGAATGGGATATCTCCATGTTATGACGTACTTCCGTTTGAAATATTGTTTTGATTTGCACATTATCATATATATCCTAATTCAATACATTTCACATAATGTTTTAGGTAAAATACAAACAAGTATACAACTTTACTTTTAATTGTACTATGGACATTTTAAAAGCAAACTCTGTAAATCATATAGTTTGAACATTACAGCTTTTGAACACTATTAATGAAAAGCTGTCTTTCAATTGTTTACTTCCAACACACACATTGCGCTTAATCATTACATCAATTATCTCGTTCCAGGACTGGATTGAATTCAAGAAGTAACTGTTTGGTCACAAATCAGTATTTATATAGTTAAAACTTTTAAATGAATGTAATGGCTCAATCATTTTTGAAAGCGATTGTCCAGGCATTGTCTTCAAAACAGTTTTCTTGCGATTTTTTATATCGGTGATAAAATGCTGAATCATTTCTTAAATAGCACCCAGATTTTTTCAAACCCTGGAAAATCACAACTCTTCCGATCGGACCAAATATATTTAAATGCATCTGCTATTTTCCATTTATATATATTTTTTCAATTTCTTTTTTTCAATTTGCCGAATATTAATATACATTCTAATTGTAATTTTCATGCAATTTCATCCGGAATGAAGTTTTCCACATATAAAAAAAAAATCACATATTTTTTGTCATTTTTGTTTTTATATACACTTGAAATAAGAAAACTTCTTCCTATAATATTAAGCTTTTGATATAAGAATTATATGATAAAAAATCAGTTTTGTATTTCTCATTAAAATAATAAAAAAAATTATCAAAATTCCGATTTAACATACTGATGCGTGATGGCATTTCAAATCCTCCTAATTTGTTTACATGAATATATAGCCTTCCCACACACATCAACACACATATATATTCCTAAGGTTTTTCACCTGAATGTCACCTTTTCGTGAACTGGTACGTCATATGTGTCAACACACATCACATTCATAAAGTAATTTTTCTCAAATTTGTGTGAAATTGAATCACCCCTAGTTCCTACAATGCCTTCCTTGAACACACATGGACATATGTACATACATTATCACCTGTGTGTCATGTGACGCTTGAGAGGATGTGAATGGCTGAAAGCCTTCCCACACACATCACATTTATAAGGTTTTTCACCAGTATGAGTCCTCATATGTATCAGTAATTTGACCAATTGAATGGCTTCCTTCACACATCACATACGTAAGGCTTATCACCTGTTGTAATGTGACTTTTGTGTGAAAGGTTGAAAGCCTTACCACAGATATCACATCTACAAGGTTTCTTACCCTTATGTGTGACTGTAGGTTTCCTTACTGGTAGGTTTCCTTCCCACAATGTCACATTTATAAGGTTTATTACCAGTATGTGTCCTCATGTGTCTCTGTTTGGTACTGAAATGAATAAATGCCTTCCCACACACATCACATTTATATGGTGTTTCACCTGTATGTGTCCTCATGTGTCTCTTTCAATTTTGTGACTGGCTAAAAGCCCTCCCACACATCACATCTATAAGGGTTATCACCTATGTGTGTCCTCATGTGTGCCTGTACGTTAATTAACTTAGTGAATGCCTTCCAACACACACAACATTCATAAGGCTTATCATCTACATGTGTGCCCTTGTGTGTCTGTAAGGTATTTAATCCGTTGACTGCTTTCCCACAAACATCACATTTATAGGGTTTATCATGTGTATGTGTCTTCATGTGACTCTGTAAGTTCTGTGACTGGTTGAAAATCTTCCCACAAACATCACATCTATAAGGTTTTTATTACCTTTATGTGTCCTCATGTGACTCTGTAAGTCACTTAACCGTTTAAATGCCTTTTCACACACATCACAGATATAAGGTTCATCACCTGTATGTATTCTCATATGATCCTGTAAGGTAATTGCCTGAGTGAATGCTTTCCAACACACATCACATTTAAAAGGTTTATCACCTGTATGTGTCCTCTTGTGTGTCTGTAAAGCATATAATTTGTTAAATGCTTTTCCACACACATCACATTTAAAAGGTTTAACAATTGTGTGTGTCCTCGTGTGTCTTTGTGATTTACTTGGCTGTTTGAATGCCTTTTCACACACATCACATGCACATCTATAAGGTTTTCCACCAGTATGTGTCCTTATGTGTGCATGAAAGGTACTTGACTGAGTGAATGCCCTCCCACACACTTCACATATATAAAACTTATCATCGGTATGTGTCCAAATGTGTCTCCTTAAATAACTTGTCTGTTTGAATGCCTTTTCACATACATCACATTTATAAGGTTTATCATCGGTATGTGTCCCCATGTGTTTCCTTAAATCACTTGTCTGTTTGAATGCCTTTTCACAAACATCACATTTATAAGGTTTATCATTGGTATGTGTCCCCATGTGTCTCCTTATATCACTTGCCTGTTTGAATGCCTTTTCACAAACATCACATTTATAAGGTTTATCATTGGTATGTGTTCCCATGTGTCTGCTTAAATGACTTTTCTGTTTGAATGCCTTTTCACATACATCACATTTATAAGGTTTATCATCGGTATGTGTCCCCATGTGTCTCTTTAAATCAATTTTCTGTTTGAATGCCTTCTCACAAACATCACATTCATAAGGTCTATCACCTGTATGTATCTTCATGTGTCTCCGTAAGTTACTTGTCCATTTGAATGCCATTCCACACACATCACATTTATAAGGTCGAACACCTGTGTGTGTCCTCACGTGATCCTGTAGGTGATTTGACTGTTTATATGCCTTCTCACAAACATCACATTTATAAGGTTTTTCCCCAGTATGTGTTCTCATGTGTATCTGTAGTTTTCCTGACTGTTTGAAAGCCTTTCCACACATATCACATTTATAAGATTTTTCATCTGTATGTTTACTCATGTGTCTCTGTAACTCATGTAGATGATCAAATGTTTTCATACAAATTTTACATTCATTGGGCCTTTTACTTTCACAAGCATTTATGGATTGTTCGAAATTCACAAATTCATTTTCATTTACACTGCAGTTTAAATTCCCAAGATGACTTTCTGACCTGGATGCAAAATCTGTTTTTTCTTTCTGTAAATGTAACAAATAAATCTTTCCTTAGGTTGAAGCTATTTCAGTGTATCAAAAGTGTCCAGGGGCCACATCATTAACCTGAGTAACTATTGTCATGCTGTTTTTTTAACCAGATGTCTCTCTTAGTAATTTTTTTTGTGGCCCAACGCTACATGTGCCCCTGGTGTCGTGATTTAAACAGATTAGAGTGAACTTTAATTCTGACAGGATGCTTCCACTTAAGTTTTTGCTTTTCTTGCCCAGTGGTTCTTGAGAAAATTATTAAAGCCTTTTTCCCTATAAAAAGAACCAAACTTCTAAGTGTTCACCTAACATTTTATGTTTTAAAGAACAAATGCATAAGATAAATTATCTTCTTAATTAATGATTAATGATGTATTTGTCAGTTCGATGTTATGTAAAATTTCATTTATACAGTAAATTTGTCAAAATTTTAGGCAAAGTGTCAAGAAAATGATGTACCTTCAGAATAAAAATTAACACAAAATAATCTCTACAGAGTAAGACCAACACACACTCTTATTACTGCAAGATATCCACCCAATCAGTAATAACACGCAATAGAGAATTGTGCCACTACAACACAGGATCCTTAGATACTTTCATTCCTGGATACTTTACTTCAAAAAAGGTATTAATAGTAATTTTACAACCAAACTTTTTGATACTCGTGATGGTTTCAACTTTTATATCATCAACTTTCCTTACTTATGCAGCAATGTACTTTCATCAGCTGCATAAGGCGTTTATATGTCTAAGTTAATTCCATATGCAAGAGAATGCTCTATGTATGAACAATTTCTAAAACAAGGTAAATTATTGACAAACAAGTTAATTAAACAAGAATTTCAACAGTCTCATTTAAAGTCATTATTTCGTAAGTTCTATGGTCGATACAATGACCTTGTCAGCAAACACAATTTATCATTGAGTCAAATGCTGACTGACTTTTTTTCCTACTAATTGTTAGTCCATTATTTATACATTGAATTGAAGAAGTATTTTCCATTATTTCAAGATCATGAAATAAACCTCAGATTGGTTACTACTGCAAATGAGATTATGGTCCGACCCTTTATTAATTGCTGTAGGCGGTCCAGCATCCCATCTCACTCGGCGGACCAATATCGATTTTTTATGCCTGCTCAGCAAAATATTATAAATGTTAGACTTTTTTCTTTTAAATTTGTATAAATACAAATCTCTTAAGGTATAACAAAGTGTTTTATACTTCTATATTTGCAAACTTTATCTCAAAGACACAGTATAATGTTAAAAGTAAAAAACATGAAGTCATTAAGTTAGGTTAGGGTCAGGATCTAGTAAATGAAAAGTGCCTACAGATTTATCAAACTTGAGAAATAAATTCCTTTATTGATGCTTTACAACTTTTGCTTGGTCAAATAAGGTGTTTCAGGGTATAATTTGTTGGTATACAAGATAAAAAACTACATTTTAAACTGTCATTTATAATGAAAAATTAAGAAAACCAGTCATGAATAAGGGAGTTTTTTCGTATTCGGCAAAGGAAATGTATTCAGATTGCCTACAGTCTCTCAGAAAACGTTATTTAATATCGTTATGGTCTCTTCTTTAAATCAATATCAAATTTAAAATAGGTATCCGGTTTACCTTTTCTATGATTTCAAATTGAATGACATGAAAATACCCTATTTTCTACATAATTCTGCTAAAGCTGTAAAGTACGGGAAAAAAGAAAGATGAAAGTGATTATGACGTCATAATGGATCTAGCACCCAAAAATTAGTCTCAAGTTATTTACTAAATCTTGACCTTAAAAGTTAAATGTGGCCAAAAACCATTCTGACTACAATGGGACTACATTATTGACAACCTAAAGTGACATTTTCAAAGTTTGGAAATTTGACAGTATTGACAGGTGAGGCCAACTATAAAATAATGTTTGTTTGCCCCTAAAGGCTCTGAATGGAATAAGTCAGTTTAATAGTAAGTAGGTGAGACATTTTTTCTCAGAAAATTCAATTTCAATGTTAAAATTTTAAAATCTCTATTTTTCTGATACATAAAAAAATCAAAGTATTGAAGAACTGAAAGCCGGGCTGTAATTGCTCAAATATATTTTCTTATCTTAAATTAGTACATATTTTTTTCCCTTAAGGTCATTGTTTTATAAAAGGTAGAGTTTGTATGATTATGATTGAAACAATATCTCATATACCAGTAATAAAAATTAACAGTCCAACCCCAAGATATGTTATGATTCAAAAAAAAAAAATATTTCCAAGAAATTCTTGCAAATTTCCTATTAAAAAATTCAGTCTTTGAATTGTTATGGTAATCATGATAAAGCATGTGTATTTTATACACATTCTTATAGTTGCAAACAAACAGTACTTTTATCTCAAACTGTATAGAGAAACACTTATACATGTACATTATCAAGCAACTTCACGGATGATAATTCTTACAATAATTTATTCCAATTTCCTATACTATTAAATTGCTAATAAATCAAAACAGAAGATAACCACTACTATAACATTGACAAAACGATATGAAACATGAAACTCTTCAACAGTTTCAACATTTTGAAAAGCTAGCACTATTAAAAATAGTATGCTTACAATATGCATTCAGCAGCATATGTGCACAATTGTTATACATGTATCATGATTATCCCAATAAAGCAAATACGTAATTTCTTTTAATTTTCATTTTCAAGCAAAACTATTTATCATAACTACGACGACATTGGGATGTTAAAAATATTTGTTTGAATATCATCTTGCAATAGACTATTTTGTTTATCAGAAACATCTGCTTTTTGGTTTTTTGTCTACTGTGCTATTTAGAGTCAGACAATCGATCTGATGCCTATAGTCAAGACTTCGCTTTCAGCAAAGCCTGGCTAATTATTGCCTTTTGGAACACTGTGGAAGTTAAAAAAGCTTTGAATATAGCAATTTTTAGCAATTAGGTTGAAAAAAGCAACTAAAATAACTTTTTAAAGTTGGCCTGGGCACTGTTATTACTACAGGACATTGTCACCAAAATCTTGACTTACCTTTACTGTTACTTTGTGTTGATGACCTTCTCCCTCAGGGTCAGAAATGTCAAAGGTCAACTTCTCTTCTACAGTCAAAACAATTATGTGAAGAAATCTACAATTCTTTATTATATTACAAGAATACAGTTATGACGGATGAAGTACAGCAGATGAATAAATAGAGTAATTTAGGACACTCAGATAAATATATCATATATTTACTCATAAAAGAGACATGAGAATTCTCTTTTGGGAACTTTCTTTAATAAAATTTAGGAAAACTAACACCTACTTTTAACAATCAGGAATGGGGCATATTACAGCCCCCCCCCCCCCCCCCCACCTTATGATCCCTACAAACCCCAGAGAAGTTCTGTTTGTCTCTGGATACCACTAGAGCTGCGGTTGACATTTTTTGCATGTGCATATTCCATTGAATTCTTTATAAATTAGGAAGCCTTAACAATGCTGTGTATACTTTCATGTAAATTGGTTGAATCTGATGTGTCAAGAAACATTTGTTAAACAAGAGGCTCAGGGGCCACATTGCTCACCTGAGCAACTGGCTATGTAAAACTAAAAGCAAAGATCAGTTTAAAAGTTTAGATACCAGTTAAGTAGGTTCAATGGAGAGGGGGTATTTGAACAAACATGTATATCTATACTTCTTACTGATACTTTTAAATAAATATGATACATAATACATGTACATGTAATAGCTTTGCTGTTCATAAGTTGAAATTTTTTTCTGATACAGCCTTTATATTCCTATGTATAACTCTATATGATCCACTTATATGGCTCTTCTATTATCATGATTGGTTATGATTTGAACAGACTTGGAATCTACACTACCCAGGATGCTTCCATATAAATTTAAACAATCACAGCTTTGCTGTTCATGAGAAGAGGTTTTTTAAAGATTTTTCTCTATGAATTCCTATGTTAAACTTTGATACCTGATTCTGGCCCCAACTTACCCCCAGGGTTTGAACAAACTTGAATCTACACCACACAAGGATGCTTCTATATTACTATGACCAATCATGGCTTTGCTGTTTTTGAGACAAAGAATTTTAAAGATTTTGCCTATGTATCCCTATGTTAATAAATGTTTAACTTTGACCCCCTACATGGCTCCACCCTACCCCCAGGGGTTTGAAGAAACTTGAATCTACACCACACAAGAATGCTTCCATATTACTATGACCAATAATGGCTTTGCTGTTTTTGAGAAAAACAATTTCAAAGATTATCCCTATGTATTCAAATGTTAAACTTTGACCCTCATCATGGCCCCTCCCTATCCCCAGGGTCATAATTTGAAAAACTTGAATCTACTCTTCCTGAGGAAGCTTCCCCATGAGTTTAATCTTTCCTGGCCCAGTGGTTCTTGAGAACAAGATTTTTAAAAGATGGAGACACCACCACTTGCCGGTGGAGAGCTGCAAATTTTGTTCTATACTCCGCACTTAGGGCCATTTAGCAGGGAGGGATCTTTATTGTGCCAGCACCTACTGCCACACATGGCCTCGGTTTTTACAGTCTCATCTGAAAGACTGAACTCAACGTTTAACGTCCCACAGTGGGATTCGAACCCGCGACATAAGGATTGGTCCCTAACTTCGCGACTCTAAAGCAGACGCTTTAACCACTGCACCACACGAGCGACAGAGGGAGTTGCCTTTCATTTGAACAAACTTGAATCCGCTTCACCATGTTCACCCAAGGATACTTTATGGCAAGTTTGGTTCCTGAGAAGAAGATGAAAATGTGAAAAGTTTACGATAACAGCAACAACAACCATGACAGACAACTGACAAATTTTGATCAGAAAAGCTCACTTGAGCCTTCCTCTGAATAATGAAGCCACGCCCTCCAGCGTAGCAACAGTCAACATTGCTTGACAAGGGGTGATATACTTAAAAATGTTGACTGCATAGAATTTTTATGTGCAAGGTTCACTGTAGTATGTAGTTTTATAAAGCATTCAAAATAATATAATAAATATTGCATATTGTTGAGTGTAACATTGAAAATGGACACCCCATGAAGACCCATTGTCAACACCTTGGATGACAATGGTTTTCTTGAGATGAAAATGTTCAATGTTACACTCAACTAAATGCAATATTTATATATCATTTACATTGAACTTTTGCTGTTACCGTATATGTACCCTCGAATTATGAGTTTTTCGTGGCATTACGGTTAATTTTTAATAAAAAGCTTCAAGACTGAATAATTGAGATGTTTGCTATTTATCACATATACAAACAATAATTCTTCTTATTCTAAAAGGATTTAAACTCACATATCATTTGTTCTGAAGGTCATTGAATTTTTGCATAGTTGCTCTTTCAATTTTTTTGCTTGACGTCATATGTTTTCGTGGTATTTATAAAACAAGTAAACTATGGAAATCTAGTCAGGCAAAATCCTTATAAATTTTACAGTGTCAAAAATAATAGTTAATTTACAAAATCATTACACTATATGACATGGAAATTTATTTCTTGTTAATTAAGACCACATCTATCTAGGCGTGCCTAAGCTCTATTGCTAAATAATGTAAAAAAATTTTCTTTCTCAAGAGTGGCCTAGAAGTAATTTTGTAAAGCTTTATTTGAATGTTTCACATTTTAAAATATAAATTACATGTATATTTAAAGAAATTAAATGTTTAATTCGATTAATTATCAATTGCACAATATTTTTTTTATCAATATAACTTTTTAACACCCCCAATATTTTCTTTGAAAATTATATAAAAATTATGTTACCAGATCACCGTAGAAAAAATATCAAAAGTGGAAAATTCCAAATTATTGTCACATGACAGGTAGCTGCATGGATATTTAACAGACGATGATATGCAGGGATCGCCAGCTATTAATTAGTTTGCAAGTTTGGTATTCTAGTTCAAAATACGACGAATAAGCATGTATTATGCAAATTGTCAAATTTGCGAACTATGCATAACTCACTCACTATATATTATATTGGCAAAGGCAAAGAGGTTTAACATTTGGTCATAAAACATGCACAGGGTTCCCCTTTATTAATAGCAAATATGACGTCATTTTGATCTCGCATTGTGCGATTATTCCTAAAAATAAAAAATACCATGAAAACGTATATACCACGAAAACATATGACGAGATGGTATATTTACCAATAGATTCTTCTCCCTGGTCAGATTCTAGATCTCTGGTGCTGGATATAGGTGTCTCCATACATGTATCTATACCAGTAGAGTCTTCTCCCTGGTCAGATTCTGGATCTCTGGTGCTGGGTATAGCTGTCTCCACCTCAAACTCTGACATGGTCTGTTTATTTAATTATTGCTCTCAAAGTTCTGTAAAAGAATAATTTTTTAAAGAAATAATTATTGTAATAAGTAATAATTAAATTAAGTGGGACACCGCTTCGATTTGAAGCGACCGAAATCCCTAGGCATGCGCAGAAGCCAGTGCTCAGTGTCTCTCTTTTCCCTATATATTCTATTAAGAGCGACACTGAGCACTAGCGACAGTTTTCACGGTTACAGGTGTACCAGTGAAATCAAACTCAACTCACCTAGTCAGGTGCTATATATCCATTTTTTATTTTTTTGGTAAATTTAGCCATAATAAATTAAATCTAAATTACAGTGAGGTTGCCGATATCGAATCACTTAGTATATTTGCTTGGATATTTCGTACCTGAGTTTGAGTTAAATTCATTTTACAACATTGCTTGGTGGGACTATGTTTTACTTATAACATCATATATATTTTCCCAATAACCACTAATTTAATAAAAAATTATCGCTGTACTTGTATGAATGATGTTTTCTCCTTTAGCGGATCATTTTCTCCATTACCGAATCACGTGACATAAAGCTGATTATTCTGGTTCGGGACCGTGTAAATTTAAAAATACCCTTCTTACGTAACGTTTTACTATGCCTTAAAATATTTCACCCCCCCCCCCCAAAAAAAAAGTAGAAAAGCTAGGAATTTTTTGAGTTGTTTGCATCCGACAATTAATGCAAAAACAACAACAATGAACTCATGAAATGACTAGTTGATATAAGATGTCGTAAACGCGTATATGTGATGAACTGCAAACAGCCGAAGAATTAATTTTTTATTCAAGAATTGTACTCATTGAATTTGAGCTACCACGCCCCCTCCCCATAATTTTGCCGCTATTTAGATAGAAAATATATCGCTAGATATATGATTGTGCCCCCTCAAAAAAAAAAGTCCGATGACCTTTTTTATGCTTGATTAATTAATTGTCAAGGAATTTTGGTGGTTGATAGTGCCTCCTCAGCTGAAAATGTATGGCTCTGCACCCCTCCCCCACCAACTGAAATTACTTCCTTCGAGTCTGGCTTCAGAGATACCTAAAGCTGAAAGGAACAATTATATTTTCAAAATGTCCAGACCCAACACCTAAATTTCCTCCAATGAGCAGAGACAACTTTACAAATAATGATGTTGGGATTCATTTGCTGAATTTCTCCATTCCAACATCCACAGTAGACTAAATACCAGTATTCCAATTTATTAAATACTGGAGGTTGTCCTTTCACTTTACATGGGTCTACTTCAACTGTCCATCGTCTCTATAAAAATGAATAAGACAACTCATTCTTCTCTGCTGTTTCATAGTGCTCTTTCTTCCTTTTGCTTGAAGACAGTGGCATATATTCCATATAGGCAAAAGGCTGCAGTCTGCATATCATTTCCTCAATGTGTAATTTAAATCAAATGTTTACTAACTAGTATATGTTGAAAAAGAGGGGGGGGGGTATCATAAAACTCTGTTTATAATTTATTTAGCTTGATGTTGAATTGAAAAAGTATTGTTAGCAATATGCATTTTATTACATGAGCTTGATCTTGATCATGACAAGAAATAAAAATTGATTATTTGAAATAATTTTTTAGGGAATAGGAAAACTGCAAACGGTGTATCGTTGGAAATAATGATTTAGTAGGAAGTTTAAATTGCAAAGGGATAAATAAATAAAATTTCTAATTCTTAATTTTGTTTGGTAATCATGACGATTTTTATTTCGCTATCGTCGATGTCTTCACATTAGCTTACATGCACATATATATACCACCGGGAGACATTCTCGAATCCACATGCTCTGCACTTCTTACTGATTTTGGCTGCTGATTTTGTTTATGTGTATTTTAACCACCTTTATTGTACGCTTTTGGTAGACATCTTCTGTTGTTTTTTTTTGTTGTTGTTGTAACTGGTGTGCAAAAAACCGCATACGAAAAATTATGATTTGGACAGGATCCCTGCATTTCATATTTCTTGAAACAGTGATTCGTTATTGGAAACCTAAATACCCCCAACTTTAAAGTGAATACTATTAATTTCTGATTTAGAAATTGTATGACGCTTTCAGTGCTTTTAGACACATAATTTTATTAAACATCTGCACCAAATTTGTTTACCTAGAATGTACGATTCACTTTGGAGCGGTACCGAAAAGTGAAAGTAGTCTGCTCGCATGTACGCTTCTGGTCTGCGTCACAAAAACGCTTGTTCATGTTTATTTAAAAATTATTACATTGAACGAGTTGAATTTAATAATTTCATGATAAATGATAAAAGCAAGAATAATTCAGCATGACAGGGTAGGTTAAGCTAAGTATTGGACTTTGGTAAGAAAAATACAGAATTTTCATCTGAAAGTGATTCGTTAACGGGTGCCATTCGTTATTGGCAACCTCACTGTATAAGAATTCTTTATCATCACATCCTCATTTTTAATGGGGATATATGACTCTATTTAGCAACATCATTTTGGGGGGGGGGGGGGGGGGGGGGGGGGAATTCACACAATTCGATGTTTACAAATCTTGCAAATACATATAAGAATACTCGAGTTTAAAAATATTCAGCCTATCTCGGGTATCAACGTAGAACGTCATTGAAATAAAGTTTTTCTTAATGCTTTGTTGCATTCTTATAATCATATTTTACCTGGTAAATAAGTAAATTGTGCTTGATTCGCGTGAACTATTATACATAAAACATTGTGGCTTTCTTTCTGTAAACAAGGCAAAATGTCGATCCCGACGTTAAATGTGAAGGGTGCGTCGATTTACCCAAATGGACCCAAATAGAACCCAAATTGACCCAAATTGAAACTCAAATGGACCCAAATGGAATATAAAAAATATATATATTATATCATATTCTCAAGGTTTTACTTATTTAAAATATAGAAAAAAAAATGAAATTATCAAATAGAGAATATTCTAATATCATTATTTTCTTCAATTGTATATTTAAACATTCGATTTAAATCTATTTGTAAAACTATTATTGAACATACTTGAATACAAAACTGAAGTATTTGATATTTTTCATGGCCGTAGGCACAGAAGGGGGTTGGGGGTTGGGTGGAGGCCAAAAAATAATTATTAAATGTTTTATAGGATTTTTTTAATAAGTAATTGATAAAAAATTTTAGCTGTAGAATATAGAAATCAATATTTGTAAGAAAGATCAGATTCGAATGAGTTGACGATAAAATGGTCCTCGTTATTAAATTCTGGCAATACATTTCACTGGATTGCTTGGAATACTTCCCTCGGAGAGTTATCTCTCTAATCTCTCTTTTTTAAGGTACATCGATCCTTACGTCCTGAAAATCAGGCATTAAGTAATTGGAATTGCTAACAAACATGTCTCTGAATTCTTAGAGTGTCGTGTTTTTACCCACGATAATTCTTAAAATTTCGTCTTTAAAATTAATCATTTTATATAGGAAAGATTAGTTAATCTCAAACAAATTTTCAGAAAATGTGAACTAAAACACCTACTATGCATTTTTCCATTTAAATTTGATCAACAACAATATTTTAAAAATATAAAAACATAGGTATCAAGACTCTTGAAGAAACTAAACCATGTTTATACATATAAGGTACATTAATTTCTTCTGTTTACTTCGATCTTTTTACAATACGAGGGGTGATCAAATACTTCGCGAACTAATTGAATAACTTCTATAATAGAAGCAATATTTGGTTTCAGTGTTGATTGCATTTTAGATTAGTCCTCTCCAAATTTAATGCACATCAACCGCCGTTCTGCACATGCGCAAATCAGGTGATATAGGCGGTCACGTGACCCCTTCCGTAGCATTCTGTCACAAAAGCGGAAAGAATTTTCTGAGTTTTATATTTCTTTACATGTTTAATTTTTATAACAAGAAAAGTTCATTTTTGTCATCTCGCCCAAGCAAAAACTATTAGCTTCGTTTGATTAACAGCAAAGATAGAAAACACAATTTAAATTGAAAAAGGTCATTTATTAACATAATGACGAAACTACTAATGCAGTATAATACTAATTGTAAGAAAAGTTAATAACACTCCATAAGCAAAATCAACTTAATGTACTTTGTAAAACTTTACAATATATACACTAGGGCTGGATCAATATATCGGTAATCGGTATATATCGATATTTTTTAGCAATACGATAACCGATACAGAGATGCTTACGTATTGCTCGATTATTTCAACGTTTAATTAAGAGAAAGAAAAACGTCAAGGTGACTTATATTACAAACGACTTATCTAAAATCGTTTAAACGCATGTAAACATGTCAAAAGTGAAGGATCGCTACGTAAAAGTTAGCAGCAAAAAGGCAAAATGTAATTATATTTGTCAACAAGAAGTCGCAAGTTCTGTTGGAACAACAAGCCTATATATTATTACTCATCTCAGCCGGCATCGCAACATTGACCTGTTTGCTACTGTGAAACTTGGAGGCAATTCCGGTTGGAAAAATGGCGCGTCGAGAAAAAAGTCATGGAATGTAATCCGATAATAAGATATCAATCAGATTTTTTTAAGTCATAGTTTATTTTAACTCAAAGCAATTTGGTAAAATATTTTATCTGCCATTACTTCCACGAATACGACGTCAAGTGAAGAATCAACACAGACAAACAGGTCAATGTCGTTTGTGGCTTCAGAACGAGTCCGAGTATTTAGCACCATAGGCAACATATTTACATGCACAAGGGCTTGTCTGAAACCTGACTAAGTGGATCGATGCCTTGATTTTTCTGAAGAAAAATATGGGCAAATAACATTAATCTTTCACACATTTGTCCATTCAAAGAATAAAAAAAAACAAGGATTTAAAATGTTTTATTTTTGTAAATTTATGCTGTAATCAAAAAATACTATCACCTCTTTTAAAAAAAAACATGCAAAAAGTAGTGTTTTCTCATTTGTCTGTATCGGCAATATGAATCGCATATCGCACCTCTGTATTGCAATATGTATCGTATCGAAAAATTTCTTTCAATACCCAGCCCTAATATACACTCTGAGGAACATCTGACTAGTTCAATGATTATTGCAAAATCAAAGGTGGGGACCAATAAAACAGCCAACACAAAATTAACAAATTTTCAGCTTTGGGAGGGTGGCGGGTGAAAACATTAAATCGCTAATTTTCTACTACCGTAGAACTTCAGCTTCTGTTTACAAACTTTGTGACCTATTGCACTGCCACCTAGCGGTGGCGTTCTATTCTTTTTATACTACGCAGGGAGATAACTCTCTCAATGCACAAAATACAGCTCATGCCAAAAATGCATTTCACCTAGCGGTGATGTTCTCTTCTTTTTATACTACGCAGGGAGATAACTCTCTCAATGCACAAAATACAGCTCTTGCCAAAAATGCATTTATTAACATAAATGTGATTTTGTCAGAAATGGCCAAATCTCAGTAACAGAATGGGAGGATAAGAATATCCTTTCCAAAAATAAGCATGGCGACCACTAAAACCCAAATCTTCTGTCTCGGTGGATAAAGAATGGGTGCCTCATTTTTATCATATCTAATATGTTTAAAATCTAAAGTAAACGATATCTTAGGTCTTTAATAATTATATCATTGTTCAAATATTACACTATATTTCAGAGTGTAAATTGGAGGTCTTTGATAGCAAATTGCTGAATTAAAAACACACCTTTTTTCAAACTTGCTTTCACTGGGCAATAGAACAAGTATTATTTTCAATCATCTGCCTTCCTTCACTGAAACAATAAATTCAATCATTGATCAAAGAACTTTATTCGGTAATAACCAATATTTGCCACCAAAATCAAACTTTGAGGGAGATATATTTAATTAAGTTCTTAAACAGGGGAGTATATGCTGACTTCAAAGCACTGAATATTTTAATACGTAATGACGCCATATGTACGTAATGACGTCACAAACATGACGAAAATTTCAGTTTTTTATGAATTTTACAGAAAAATGTACACATTTCGTCGATATTTTGAGTAAAAGTCACCGAACGCATGTGTGTTCAGGATCAATATTTTGATATAATGTACAGAATGATAATATCAAAGAAATATGTCAGTATTGTTCCTGAACAAATTTGCGCTCTATAAATTTTAAAGCTAAAATTGTTGAAATTTTGTCCATTTTGTCCTCTTTCTGAAAAAGGATATAAAATCGGACTAGTTTGTGACGTCATAAAACAACAATTGTGAATACACTGCCTTGAAAATATAATATTTTCTGTTAATTTATATTTCTCATACAATTTATTGAATTCAGCACATTTCAGGAAGTTTTCATAATTGGACTTTTGTGGGGGCAAATAAATGCAATATAACGCATATAGTTCTTTAGAGAAAGTCATTTGTCTTAATTAACTGTGTACAAATTATTATATGCTACTGCAAAGCGAATATCTGAGATATATCATAAATTTTACAGTCGACTGTTGAACACGTACTGTTGTTGAACACTGAGACAACCTTTTCCGTCACAAGTGACCCACAAAGTGACGTCATTTTCACATTGTGACATCACAAACAAGGAGCAAAACTTTATTCAGCATATGCTGTTTATAGAACTTGTGTATGGCTTTAATTATGTGTACCAATTTGTTTTCTAATCTGAATTGTGTTTTTGAAGATATAGAATTAGTTCGCGAACTTTTTGATCATCCCTGGTACTTGATGTATAAAGATTTTCCAATAATTATAAAACACCATAAATTACTTCTTTTTCATATCATGTTAATAAACATTGGTTAGATGAAAATAAACCTTCATTTCTTTAAATATGTTATTTTAAAATATTTTTTAGGGTAAAAATTTTGACTTCTTATAAAACCTCTCTGAGAATTTCAAAGAACTTTGATGCACATTGAGAAGTAAAAAATGAAAATCGTTGATTAAAAAGAATTACTTTTCAAGCTTCATTTTGAGACTTTTTGAATTTAATTACAAATTGATGAATTAACCTTCCCAGCTGAGGATCAGAGTACCTTAAGGTGTAATATATCTCTCTTATCGGATAATTATTACACCTTAAGAAAAGGCCACATTTCAATTAATTTTTTCTCCTTTTTTAATATCTGCTGAAACTGCTGAAGCACTACTCTCAAAGTTGCATTTTTAAAACAAATTAATCAGTTTTCTGTAAAAGCATAATATGACAATCTTAATAAAATGATTTTTTTTTCTAGTGCAGAGGTTAAGTAGGTTTTGTATATACTACTGACCTAATACAGCTTGATAAAAAATAGGATAAATGATAGCCTATAAAGGTCTGTTCAGAATAAAAAAAATTGAGGCAAAATAAATACTTCAGAGCATTTTATTCTGCAATATGAATATGGTTACTTAAAATCTTTGTTATATTTTTATCTTAATAAAATTAAAATTTAATGTTTCTATTTCGCAGTGCTATTGTGATAAATATGCTTTCTTGGAACAAACCTGGAATTATATTATGAATGTTGTATTCTTTGAAATGCAGAGTTGATATATTGCTCATTTCTCGAAATGAGAACAAAAATGGAAATTACACAAGCTGCTCAAGGTATGATGTATTGAATCTGTTCATTTGTATCTAAATAGAGACAGGCAGTTGCCAATATTGAAAACAAAGATAGCCATACCTCTCTGTAAGCTGATACACGTGAGATATAACGTGGATATACTACATGTAGTTAATATATATTACCATTTTCTGTAAAGATTCCTCAAATGTTATTTCTGGGAGAAAGAAGAAAGTACAGTTTGGGCAAAAATATGCCCGGTCCAGGAAATCAACTAAAATACAAAATAAACTATTACAGTATATCTAATTTATAAAAATAGTAATTTTAAATTGATATCTTTTAAAACGCCTGAAATATAATTCTTCAAAGTACAGTACTGATATTTTGACGTCGCCCTTTTTAAAGCTAAATCAGACACCAAAGGATTTCACTTCATACTAATTATTTACCAAAATGAATGTTTGCGTGACGTGCTTTAGTGTACCATTAAGTAAAATGTTTATAAGAATTAATTATAAATATTTTATGATTATTATAAAATCACCAACTTGATCTAACCAATGGAAATCAAAGGTCAAAGGTCAATTAAGTGCCTTACTTTAACCATGTTTTGGACGCTTTTAATTTTTTTGATGTTTTACTGCAATGGATGTTTGAAATGGTAATTATTAATTATTCACTGAAGCTAGGTTATTATAATGAACTACATTCAGTTGAGAGAAATCTTTTTCAGATATGTATACATAAAAGTTCTGGGTTGCTAAGCAATAAAAAAAACAAGAGGCCCAGGGGCCACAGCGCTCACCTGAGCACATCGGGCTTGAATTTACTCCCCCCCCCCCCCCCCTCCAGGCGGTCATCATTTGAACAAACTAGAATCTACACTACCTGAGGATGATTCCATATAAATATCATTAATCGTATTAAGCTTTGAAGTACTTGAAAAGAAGATTTTAAAAGGTTTCCCTATATATCCTTATGTAAAACTTGGGTCGGCCATTTTGGCCCCACCCTAGCCTCGGGGGTCATGATTTGAACAAACTTGAATCTGCACTACCTGAGGATGATTCCACATGAGTTTCATCTTTCCTGGCTCAGTGGTTCTTGAGAAGAAGATTTTTAAAGATTTTTCCTATATATTCCTATGTAAAACTTGGGTTGGCCATTTTGGCCCCACCTTTGCCCCGGGAGTCATGATTTGAACAAACGTGAATCTACACTACCTGAGGATGATTCCACATGAGTTTCATCTTTCCTGGCCCAGTGGTTCTCGAGAAGAAGATTTTTAAAGATTTTTCTTATATATTCCTATGTAAAACTAGGGTCAGCCATTTTGGCCCCACCCTTGCCCCGGGGGTCATGATTTGAACAAATTTGAATCTACACTACCTCAGGATGATTCCACATGAGTTTCATCTTTCCTGGCCCAGAGGTTCTGGAGAAGAAGATTTTTAAAGATTTTTCCTATATATTCCTATGTAACACTAGGGTCGGCCATTTTGGCCCCACCATACCCCCGGGGGTCATGATTTGAACAAACTTGAATCTACACTACCTGAGGATGATTCCACATGAGTTTCATCTTTCCTGGCTCAGTGGTTCTGGAGAAGAAGATTTTTAAAGATTTTTCTTATATATTCCTATGTAAAACTAGGGTCGGCCATTTTGGCCCCACCCTTGCCCCGGGGATCATGATTTAAAAAACTTGAATCTACACTACCTGAGGATGATTCCACATGAGTTTCATCTTTCCTGGTCCAGTGGTTCTGGAGAAGAAGATTTTTAAAGATTTTTCCTATACATTCCTATGTAAAACTTGGGTCGGCCATTTTGGCCCCACCTTTGCCCCGGGGGTCATGATTTGAACAAACTTGAATCTACACTACCTGAGGATGATTCCACATGAGTTTCATCTTTCCTGGCCCAGTGGTTCTGGAGAAGAAGATTTTTAAAGATTTTTCCTATATATTCCTATGTAAAACTTGGGTCGGCCATTTTGACCCCACCCTTGCCCCGGGGGTCATGATTTGAACAAACTTGAATCTGCACTACCTGAGGATGATTCCACATGAGTTTCATCTTTCCTGGCCCAGCGGTTCTGGAGAAGAAGATTTTTAAAAAATGTCATTAATTTTTAACAAATTCATGATTATCTCCCCTTGGAAAAGGGCGTGGCCCTTCATTTGAACAAACTTGAATTCCCTTCACCCAAGGATGCTTTGTGCCAAGTTTGGTTGAAATTGGCCGAGTGGTTCTTGAGAAGAAGTTGAAAATGTGAAAAGTTTACAGACAGACGGACAGACAGACGGACAGACGGACGCCGGACAAAATGTGATCAGAAAAGCTCACTTGAGCCTTCGGCTCAGGTGAGCTAAAAAGTTAACCTCGCTGTTGTTCAATCATCATTAACACAATTTCTCTTTCCAAGATTTACTAAGTTATTTAAGACATGGCATCATAATAATGCAGTGAACTTAAAAATATATTGCCAATGAGCATTAAATTATATATTTTTATTACACACTTAGTAATAAATACAGGTTTTTTGCATATGCGATATGGCTGACGTCACAATAGCCGTATCAGCCCTGCAGGGCTGATATGGATTTGCGGGGCTGATAACCTATATCAGCCCAGCAAATACATATCAGCCCTGCAGGGCTGATACGGCTATTGTGATGTCAATATCACACCCTTAGTAAATTAAACCACAAAAACAGTACTTGTGATCGTATACAATTTTTGGTGGGTTCATATTCTCTTAATTTTAACTTTTTGAAAATAAGGTTAATCTTAATTTACAAATACATGTAATAGATTATTTTAAATTACGGATCGAGTGCATTGAAATAGAAGTAGAAACAAACCCAAATCGTATGAGACAATAGATCATGTATATTTCTGTAAGAAGTCCATGCATGATTATTTACTTATTTTCTTCTCAACTTAATGTGTTCTGTATTTTATTACTAAGTATATGTAATAAATATAATAAAACATACCCTTTTCCACATCACATCCTGTATCAGCCCTCGACCAATATCAGCCCTCGGGCCTTCGGCCCTCTGGCTGATATTGGTGTCTCGGGCTGATACAGGATGTGATATGGAAAAGGGTATGTATTATTCTCTATATACATTTTTAAAAATCAATCACTATTCGTAATCTATACTTTTTATGGGGCTTATATTTTTTTGTCCTGTCTGCTTATCTGTTTACCCGTTTTTCTGTCTGCCTTTTGTCAACTTTAACCTTCGCCATAACTTTTGAACCATGATAGATATAGACTTCATATTTGGTATGCATACACCACTAATTAAACTCTTTCACATGACACCAAGGTTGATGACCATGTGACCTAGACAGTGACCTATTTAACTATGTGCTAAAAATAGCTTTTTTGACGTTTGCCATATTTTTTTAACATAGAAGATAGAGACTTCATATTTGGTATGCATACTCAACTGATTAAGTTCTTTCAAATGCGAATGACCTTAACTGTGACCTGTATGTTAAAAAATAACTTTTTCGAACTTTGTTGATGCTGGTCGCATAGTGTTTTACAAACAGATCTTGTTTTCATTTATATTTTAGTAAGTCATTGCAAGGGTAACTCAAAATTATTTTATTGTTAATGAACACGTACACTGGTATAGTAAACCATATACTTGTAGGAATATTGCTTTATGGCTGATGTAAAACACATAAATAATTTTTTGACAAATATAGAAATAGTATATTCACAATTCATTTGTCAATTTCATCTTTCAGAATGATAATCATTTAAAACTATTCGTAATCTATACTTTTTATGGGGCTTATATTTTTTTGTCCTGTCTGCTTATCTGTTTACCCGTTTTTCTGTCTGCCTTTTGTCAACTTTAACCTTCGCCATAACTTTTGAACCATGATAGATATAGACTTCATATTTGGTATGCATACACCACTAATTAAACTCTTTCACATGACACCAAGGTTGATGACCATGTGACCTAGACTGTGACCTATTTAACTATGTGCTAAAAATAGCTTTTTTGACGTTTGCCATATTTTTTTAACATAGAAGATAGAGACTTCATATTTGGTATGCATACTCAACTGATTAAGTTCTTTCAAATGCGAATGACCTTAACTGTGACCTGTATGTTAAAAAATAACTTTTTCGAACTTTGTTGATGCTGGTCGCATAGTGTTTTACAAACAGATCTTGTTTTCATTTATATTTTAGTAAGTCATTGCAAGGGTAACTCAAAATTATTTTAGTGTTAATGAACACGTACACTGGTATAGTAAACCATATACTTGTAGGAATATTGCTTTATGGCTGATGTAAAACACATAAATAATTTTTTGACAAATATAGAAATAGTATATTCACAATTCATTTGTCAATTTCATCTTTCAGAATGATAATCATTTAAAAAATAATTATTCATTTTAGCTGCTTGGTAATACATGTAAGTTAACAAAGTGACTCGATGAGGAAGTATCAACAAACTGAGAAACAACATTGTATCATTATGCAAGAATGAAATGTAATTGTAGATATAAAGAAGTCTGTCTCTTTCGAGCTCAGGCATAACTGTACAGTTTCATGTAACTGATCTCTTTCTATCTGTAATGCTTCCTTGTTTTCTATCACTCTTCCAAACCATTGTCATCAACATCACTATCCGATTCATCTATAATGTCCTGGACGTCAGAGGCGTCCTCCAGTGTTGTAGTCCAGTTACGAACCCCTTTCACCAACTCCTGATGACGCCCGAAAGAGAGGTACCATACAACACTGGTTGCATGACCACACATTCCAACGACTCTAGTCCCAGCTTTACATTTGCAGTACCACCCATCCACCACTCCATCACTGAAACTAACCCAGCATCTGTACTGTTTAGCAGCTATATGTCTGCTTTGAATCTTAGCACTAACCAACCCAGGAATGTCATCACTAATGCAGATTTCAAATCCACCATCTTCATCAATGTGCTCTTTAGCATAGGAATGGGCCATGCGAAGTTGATATACTCCAAGAGTAAGTTGGCGCAATTCAGTCTCTTCATAGCATGGGAAATCTGGGGCAACATTCTCTGCATCAACTTTAGTCCAACGCAGCCCTCTTCTGTCAAGTCCCTCAGTTTCCACGCGTTCCTGTAAATGCAAAAAGGTTATTGTGCAAGTTAAAGTCTTTTACTAATTCAGAGTAATAGGAAATAGAAACATTCAACTCTTTTTTTATTTCATCAACTAGATATAACTATTTTAATGTTTAGTTCAGAGTAAGTTTTGTCCTTGACCTAAAGACAACAATGAACATGCCATATATGCATCATTATAAAACTACGAAAATATATATTTACCTGTAATGTGTTGATTCTTTCTGAAAGGTGAAGCATTTTTGCAGCAAGGTTGTTTGTCTTCATCGGATGATACACTAAGTGGTGGCCTGTACTTATTGCACAGTGCCGCCACAATTCTCACATAGTCACCAATAAATGGGATTTGCGAGTTTGGTAACGTTTTAGCTAAATACTGCCACTGTTTCAGTCGCCCATTTGTTGCTTCTACAATCCAACGAACCTGAAAAATAAAAAATAGAATGCTTAATAAAACGTACAACAGTTTTCTTCTATTTCTGCTCAATCTATAATAATATCATTGTATTTCATATGCAAAGTAATAATTATGTTATAGCTAATTGGTAAAAATATGACTCTAAATACAATGTAAATATATTTACATTAAAAGAAAATACTATAATACCTTTGTCACGACTCGAGACAAGTTAGAATCAGATGTGGAGAGCTGCTTGGATCCCCTTTTCATGAAAGCAGGCATCTCCATCCTGATTCCAATGTCTTCCAACAAATCCTGGGCGTCCCTGAAACCACGGTCGACAACAAAGACATCATCTTCCTGAATCCAGCTCCTGATCTCCTCAGCATTACTATAAATCATGTGTTTTAGGATGTTGGCGTCATTATTCTTTGTGTCAGCCAGATAGGGCCCAAGAACCGATACAATGTATCCACTCGTTGTTACCACGATCATTGGTTTTACCAGGGGCCTATGTTTGTATAAACTGTATGATCGTCGTGCAAAAGCAAAATTTGAACTTTTCTGTATGTAGACATACGTTCCATCCAAAACCAAGATTGCAGGGTTTGTCGTGATGTCGTGGGTCAAAAGATCCCTAGCTAGCTCACGAGTGTGGTTGTGAATGACTTCTTCACGTGTAACATGCTGAAATCCAAGATTGGATGGCACGAAGTCTTTCATAAGCGCTGCTCTGGCAGATGCAATAGCTCGTCGAACCTGAAAAATGAGATACTTCTAAGTTAAAAAAATACTAGTAGATACATGTAAAAGATGTCCTGTTTCAAAATGTGAGATAGAAATATACATAAATATACATGTACATACATGTATATACAATGTTTACTTGTATACAATTTTTATAACATTACTTAAAAGTCTTACTTGAAACTTAGTCATGCCAAATAAAACGGCAAGCATTTTGTTTGAAAGGGCTGATCTCAGTTTCATCAACAGGATGGCTACACAAGTCCTCTTGCTTCGATTTTTGGAGGAGTTGATACTGGTAATTGTTGAGACAATGTCATGAAATTCAAGACGAGAAAATCCTGTCAGCACTTGATAGTCACTGTCGTCTAGGCTGCCTTCATCATCAAAGTCAAGCCTCGATTGCTGAAACGCTTTATCTCGCAATTCCTAAAATATTTTAAAATATTTTCATCATAAATGCTTTATTGTCATCATTAATGTTATTAGTAATCCAATATATCCGGTATAATATATTGTGTATGACCAAGTTGGAAATAATAAATGATACCTTGATTAGATTGGTGATGAAAGTTTTGTTCAGTGTCGTGCTCTCACTCGTCTTAATCTGCTCCATAGCTTCATCAGTCATTTTCCCATTTTCCAAATGTCGAGTACAACACCTTGCACCAGACGGGATAATTATCCCTCGACTGATGAATACAAACATACGAACATGATGGGAAACTGTAACAAGTTTGGGTCCCGGTTTCTTCCAAACAAGGCAGTAACCATGGCTTTGGGTTGTTGATGGAATTGGCAGGGGAACGGAAGGAGGACTATGAAATGAGAGTCTAGTTTTCTTTGGATTTGGTGATGCGTAAGTTGGATCCTCTTTTTCCTCCTGGGGAGCTGGCCTTGATAATGTGAGTCCAGTGGCAAAAGATTTATTCTTTTTCCTACACTTATGGCGACACTTATTACACAATACGTCTGAGTCTTCCACATTTACAGAAAAATGTTTCTGTAAAACAGAAAGAAATAAAGTAGCTGGCCGTCGTTCATCCTGGGGGATCTTCTTGTTGCACAGAGCACACTTATATCGTCTCTCATCCATCCTTTTAAAAAATAATTAAATCAATAAGTCAAAAGGTCCACGTCATCATGGTCATCTTCATCGATTAAATTTTGAAAATGATCGTAATACATCATGATTTACAGACATACACAATAAGCTGAATTTTAGCTATTATATGTACCCTCATTTGTAATGATCAGACAATTAAAAGAACAATTATAAGCCTGAAAATAAATATGGTTTATCAAAGAAAATCGACCCCATTTTAACACTTTTCAGCTTAACACACTCTTTTTAATTAAGAATTTTTTCTGGGTTAGTGTAAGAGTGATGATTTATTAATTAATTTCTAATTAATTAATAAATATCAGATTATTTTGTATTCTATTTGTATATATTTTTATTTCAGCTTATTAGATAAGTGTATGGCCATTCAGGTGTAAGAGACAGTGCTACCCTGTTATTTGCCTTTAGGGTTATAATTAAGGTCCTGGCCATAAGTTCTATAAGTCATTTGTTTCTATTGGGTTTTAGTTTTGTGTTCTAGTGTTTTATTGGTTTGTCAAATTCCCTCCAAAGTGTTCTTGGTCTTTCTGGTCATTCTTTGTCCAGATTGTTGATAGAGAGGTTCCATTAATTTGGTTGTGACAGAATTTGACCAATTGACTATTGACTTAGACTCTCTTCATCTTCTGGTAAGTTAATATTTATTTACTAACTTTAACATATCTTTAATATAAAGTTCATTAAATGTGAAATCTGTAATTTCTGCAATATTAATTTCCATAGCACTTTTGCACAGTAAGAGAGATTGTGGAAGTCAGATTTTTACTTAGTTATTAGCAGTAAAGTTAAAGGTATTTTTATGATCCAGATAATATGTACATATGTGTTTTATGATCAGAGAATTATGTAAGGTTTATGATAATTTATAGTTATCATCTGGACTCCCAGCCATATACTGTAGTTGTGTGATAAACCATATGGGAGCTTGCCTATTCCCTCAGAATGGTATGCTATTGTTTTTATGATTTATTGTTTATAAGAAAAAGGTACATAATGTCTATGAAGATATTATAGCTTTAATAGTAATATATATTTTGTTGTAAAGTATTTTAATTGTATGCACAAAGTGTAAATTCTAAGGGAGTATTATATTGTGTGTAATGAATGTAAAAGTTATCTCCCTTTATGCAGTATTGTGTATAATATTGAATTGTGCATTAATGATTTTATGATTTTACTCAATATTGTTATTATTTATTTCAGGGCAATAGTGAATATATTTATATCTACAACCATTAATAAACAGTGTGTCGAACCCTGACAGGTGTTTTCGTTATTTACGATTCCATAACCCTGTTACAAATTTGGCGCCCACGTTGGGACCCTTGGGATAGACAGTGCAGTGAGACCCTTGGGACAGACAGTGAGACCCTCTCTGCAACAACCAGCAGCCTAACGCCATTTCTGATACCCATAGTGAACAGTCTGCCTGACCAGTGTCCGTCCTATAGTGTATGTCGTATTCATGGATGGACGGACTGTGATGTGATGTGTGATGTACGTGTACCATATGTTACAATGATGTAGTGACAGTGTCGTGAGTGACTGTAGTACCGGTACGTACATATCCGTCGAGATCACCTCTGCGGGGTACATATCCGTCAAGACCACTTTTGGACAATTTGGTGACTCATCATTCATTTTGTGTGTTATTTGTGTTTTGTGCTTTGTGTTTGTGCCATATATGGTGTGTATTTTCTACAAGTGATATTATCAGCTGATTGGTGAGTGTTACTGTTAGAATATTGTTTACCTGTATACTTAGAGCTCTATAATTATTTTTTTTTTCATTTCTTTGCTTGCAAGCCTATTGTATTTTTGAAATTTACATATTTTTTTGGGTACCCTTGGTATTGAAAATTTTTTGATTAATTTAGTTTTAAGTGTAAAGGTTAATTTTAAAAGTTTGACAGCTGAGTGCCAGATTGGTAAGTGAGGTATCACACATTCACTTATCCAGAGATCCAGGTACCCTTGAATTACTAAAATGTAAGTAAATTAATTAATAATTCTATCTCTTTTGACAGTGACTTTTTGACAAATATATATTACAGACATTCCAGTTGAATAGTTGAATACAGTTTTCTTGGTAAAGTGTTTGTATTTGTGTGCAGGTGAATTATATCCTTTGGTTCTAAGTTGTGCAGTTTTCAGAGTTGTTGGAGGGTTGATTTAAACAAGTTTTATTATTGCATTTGTTTGTTTTACTGATTAGTGTAGTGCCCACCTTATACTTTATTGATTTTCATTTATTTAGTACTTAATTTACATCGGGTTCGTTCCGCTATTTGATCGAGATCGGTTTTCTTTTTCCGATTGCGCATTTCCGATCGAGCTCGAAATCCGCGTTATTTATTTTGACCGGAAGTAAGTTTAGACAACGTGATTTGGTAAACAAATATTGAAATTTGCCTTATTTTCCCAGTGTTTGTCGTTCATTATTCATTTCAAGTAATTTGAAGTACAGCAACAAGGGTATTGAAAGTCATTATCTCTTTCAGGTAATTATTTTGCGTCAAATTGTCTTTATTTCAGCCTTTGAATTTCAGTCAGCTGATTTTTGATTTCATTCAATAGAACATATCATTATTCATTCGTTGAAATATCTAGTACTCAATTGAAATATATCTTGAGTTTATTTGAAAAGCATTCATAGTAATACATATTTACTAGGGAACTACCTATCAGCAATATTCATTCGTTTTAAATATTTGAAACAAGCCCATTTTATTAGTTTATAGTTCTGTCATGAACTCCCACCTGTAAATAATATTTTGTTATTTGTTACTCCCCCATTGATTAGTTCATGCTGAACTACCCTCCTATTCTGATTATATTTTTGTTTATTTCATCATTACTGTACAACATGCCGAAATCCGAAGGAGACGCAAGTAAAACAGATACTTCACCTGAGACAGAAGCTGATAAAGGAGCTACGGCTAGCCAAGTATCAGAGAATGAGTGGAAAAGTCTGTACGCCACGTTGGAGAAAATGAAGATAAAACCAGACAGCTTCACATCATGGTTAGCTTCACAGGAAGATCAGCCACAGGCTAAGAAGGAACTGAAATTTCCTACCACACAAGCACCAACATTGCCACCACCATTACCTACCGGCTCTTACTATAAAGCACCTTTGAGGATCTCAGTGTTTTCTGGTGATGAAAAGGACTCATATGAACTGTGGAAGTATGAGGTTGTTTGTCTCATGAAAGAGTCTCATTCTGAGGAGTCCATTCTTCAAGCCATCAGACGTTCCGTCAAAGGGGAAGCAGCCAAAGTCATCATGAGATTAGGTGTAGGTGTAAGTGTGCAAGAAATCCTGTGTAAGTTGGACAGTATTTATGGAAACGTGTTGGAGAAAGAGGATATTTTGGCTGAATTCTACAGCGCGAAACAAAAGGATGACGAGACTTGTTCCGCATGGAGTTGCCGTCTTGAGGATATTTTATGCAAGGCGATGAAGATGGGTAAAGTTCAGAATAGTGCAGCAAATGAGATGCTTCGCACCATGTTTTACAAAGGACTCAGACACGACTTGAAAGATATTTGCGGACACCTGTACCATTCGATCAACGACTTCGACAAGTTACGGGTAGAAATTAGGAAAATTGAGACTGAACATCCAGCTCAAGGAAAAGTCAAGTCAAAGCCAGCAATTGCCAAAGCAGGAGTATCTCAGCCTGAGACAACGAGCACTTTGGATAGTAAATTTGAAGCCCTGCAGGCTCAAATTAATCAGCTGAGAACGACACAAGAATCCTACTACAATCCCCCCTCTTATGGATCTAGAAACTTCAGAGGAGAACAACCCTATCAGAGAGGAAGAAGGCAATTCTCAGGTCGTGGTAGAGTTTATACTCCCAGAATGCCTGAACCAAGAGTCTCTGATGTTGATCAAGGACAACAGATGCCTCGGAGGAGCGGTAGTGTTGTATGTTACAAATGTGGTCAGGAGGGCCACATCGCAGTTGGTTGTCGTGTAAGGGTAGACCACAGGAGGAATTTAAACTACAGATGGCCGAATCCTGGGGACAAGGGTCTGGCCGACAACACCGTGGTCCCACCAGCTCGCAAATAGTAGGGACAGCCAATGAAGTACAAGTGGCTATAAATGGAATATCATGTTTGGCATTACTCGATACTGGTGCAACTGTTTCTACAATATCCCAGTCATTTTATACTACACATCTGCAGGGAACAACAGAGTTGCATCCATTAGATGAGCAGATAGATATTGAGTGTGCAGATGGGCAGTTGATGCCTTACATGGGATTTGTTATAGTAGACTTAGCCACTTATGGACTTTCATCTATTGATGTTTTGAAACAGTGCTTATTTTTGGTTGTTCCTGATAGCAAGTACAATTCACGAGTACCAGTACTTTTAGGTACCAATCTACTGGATAACCTGATGAAGATTACAAAGTCAGAGTATGGTACCAGATTTCTACAGAAAGCGGATATACACACTCCTTGGTATTTGACGTTCAGATGTCTTACCTTGAGGAACAGACAACTAGAGAGAAACAGAAACAGATTAGCGGTACTGAAGTCAGCTGAGTCATCCAGAATCCTTATTCCACCAAATGGAAAGGTATTGATAAATGCCTACATGGATAAGAAGATTCCATATAAGAGAATGCTGACAATGATTCATGCTACTTCAGGTTCCTGCATTCCTTCAGATCTGGATATTACTCCCAGTCTGCATTATTATGATTTTGAGGATGCCAACCCTGTACTGGTTGAAGTCAACAACGTAACAACCCAGACTGTGTCTGTTGTACCTAAGGCGCTGTTATGTGAGATGCAGCCAGTTACATTAGTAGATCTACCATCTACCAGCTCAGATGCACCATGTAGATTGGACACTATTTTGGAGAAGATCAACTTATCTGATACTTTGTCTGAAGAAGAGAGACAGAGCTGCGAGAGGATCATAAGTGAGTATCAAGATGTTTTCTCCACAGGATCTACAGACATTGGTACAACGAATGAAGTATTCCATCATATTGAACTATCCGATTCGACACCATTCAAACAGCGTTATAGGCGTATACCACCTGCCATGATAGAGGAAGTGAGAACACACATTAAAGAATTGCTTGCTAGTGGAGTGATAAGACCTTCCCACTCACCATTCTCATCTAACGTGGTATTGGTAAGGAAGCATGATGGTACGTTGAGAATGTGTGTTGACTACCGGCAACTGAACTCACGGACAGTTAGGGATAACTACGCGTTACCACGGGTTGATGAAATCCTGGATTTCCTTTCTGGTAATCGCTTCTTCACTGTCCTTGACATGAAATCTGGGTATCACCAGATAGAGATTTTAGAGAAGCACAAACAAAGGACAGCCTTTACAGTTGGTCCGCTAGGCTTTTTCGAGTTCAACAAAATGCCCTTTGGACTCGCTAATGCTCCGGCGACTTATCAGAGACTACAAGAGCAGTGTCTTGGAGATCTTCATTTAAAAATTTGTTATATATATCTTGATGATGTTATAATCTTTTCCAGGACAATTGAGGAACACCTTGACCGCCTCAGACTTGTTTTTGATAGGTTTAGGAAGTTCGGACTGAAGCTGTCTCCTAAGAAGTGTCATTTCATGATGAAAAGGGTTAAGTATATTGGACATATTATTTCAGAGGACGGGGTGCAGGCCGACCCAGAAAAGGTAAGTAAAGTTCTAAACTGGTCCAAACCTAAGACTCCTGAAGAGGTTAGACAATTTCTCGGATTTTCAGGATATTATAGGAAATTCATACGTGACTTCTCTAAGATTGCGCGTCCCTTAATCGACATTATGGCCACTGGTAAGAAGTCAAGAGGAAAAAAGGCACCTCCATCAAGTTGGCATTGGGGACCAGATCAAGATGCTGCATTCAGCAGACTTAAGGAATGTCTAACAGAAGCCCCAGTTCTAGGATATCCTGATTTTAGAAAACCCTTCGAACTTCACACAGATGCTAGCCTCAGTGGACTCGGAGCTGTGTTATATCAGGATCAAGACGGAACAAAGAGAGTCATTGCCTATGCCAGTAGGGGTCTGACAAAGTCGGAGAGGAATTATCCCATTCACAAGCTGGAGTTCCTTGCTCTTAAATGGGCAGTTACAGAGAAATTTTCGGACTACTTGACTGGAACCCAATTCTCTGTATTTACCGACAACAATCCCCTCACTTACGTGCTGACTACAGCCAAGTTAGACGCCACTGGACACAGATGGATAGCTGCGTTATCCTCGTATAACTTCAGTATCACCTATAAACCAGGTAAGTCAAACATAGATGCTGATATTTTGTCTAGGTTACCAGCACAGACAGAGACGCTTGATGCTGAAGCTGTTCGAGCCATTACAGACTCAGGAGAAAAGCAGCCTTATATCCAGACACTCCCTGTTTCACCTGCTGTTTGCCAACAGTTGCAGATACCTATAATAGATGACAATGGCAGTCATATTGATCTGAAACAGATCCAGAAGGAAGATCCATACATTGCATCTGTCATAGACTATGTTAGAGAAGGAAAGAGACCTCCAAGAAACTCAGCAAGGTGTGAAGCAGAGGCAATTCTACACCAGAATTATAAGAAGCTGAAGTTAGACGAAGGCATACTTGTAAGAGAAACACAGAGAGAGGGTACTACTCAGAAGCAGTTTGTTGTGCCATGTAAATACAGTGAAGTGATACTGCAACATTTACATAACAACATGGGCCACCCTGGAAGGGACAAGACAACAGCATTGGTTCGAGAAAGATTCTACTGGCCGAGAATGTATGCAGATATTTCCAAGTGGATAGACGAATGTGGGAGATGCATAAAGTTTAAGACACCAGACAATCAGAGGGCATCTTTGGTCAACATTGTAACAACAGAGCCACTAGAGTTAGTCTGTATGGATTACATGACCTTAGAACCATCCAAGGGGAACATACAGAATATCCTAGTAATGACTGACCATTTTACGAAGTTTACCATCGCCGTACCCACTAGGAACCAAACAGCCAAGACAACCGCTGATGCCATCTACAATGAATTTATCGTCCACTATGGAATACCACAGAAACTACATTCGGACCAAGGAGCAAACTTCTGTAGCAGCATCATAAAAGAACTTTGTCAAACATTTGGAATTTCTAAGTCTAGGACCACACCCTATCATCCTATGGGTAACGGAATTACTGAAAGGTTTAACCGAATACTCATCTCTATGTTAGGAACTTTAGACCCAGAGCAAAAACACAACTGGAAAAAATACATCTATCCATTAGTTCAGGCCTACAACTCAACTATTCATGACTCTACAGGATACTCGCCATATTTCCTTATGTTCGGCAGAGACCCCATTTTACCCATAGATCTCATATTTGGAATTGACAGAAATCAACCTTCAAAATCAACTTCTTCTTATATACAGAAACTG